TTGAAGATTTAGAAACATTAAAATGGTCCTCTGAGGGCAAGACTGAAAGGATACTACTCTATCGTATGTCAAAACATTGCACATATTCTACAATGAATAGCAACCTTACACTTTAACGGACCTTAAAAAGACCAGATATGATATTGCTCACAAGAGAAAGAACTGGGAATAGGGCATCCAATGTACTCCTTGCCATTAATTTCATAAGTGCACTTGAACCTCACACCCTGAAAACCTCCCTACACTCTTAGATGATCGAGGACCCACATCGGGCTCCCTGCTCAGCGGCGAGTCTGCTTCTCCCTCTGACCCTCCCCCCTCTCATACTCTCTCGCTCCCTCATTCTCTCTATCAAATTAATAAATAAAATCTTTAAAAATATATATATAAGTCATTAGGGATTCCGACAACCATACCTGCAAATTACCTCAAAGTCCCAAGTGAAAGGTACTGGATGAGTGAAAACAAATCATCATTGGCAGAGTTTTCCTACTATCGGTACACTATAAACTCATCTATGGGGTGATGGTAAGATGTTCTAGACATTACTCCATCCTGAGGGTGCTGGCATATATACCATGGAACTCAGAATAATTATACTGTTAAGTAAGTAATCAGATGGGGGGAAATATTGGGCTGAAAGCCACACTGGAATGTTCTTTATTAATTAAATTTTCTTCAAAATAAGAAACACTCCCCACTTTTCTATAGCTGGTGTTTCATAAAACTGAGCCTCATATTTTCTATTATGATCTGTGGCTACATCCTGATTCAGGATCTGGCACTAAGTTATAAAAGTATGAGCAACAGTATCCATAAAGGAAACATGCAACATCTCTCAACCTTAAAATTAGTAAGAGAATCCTCCCCATCCAAAAAAACCCATCACCACTATTTTACAAAAGTTGATAATTTAAGGGAAACTCGAGACTACCATGAAGTACAAAATCAACCTGTAACCTACATTTACTTGACCTAGCTTGAGGTGTAAAAACCTTACTCAGCTTTGATTTACTATTCTAGTGAACACTTAAAATTCAGAAGCCTTTTCCAGGGGACCCGTTTGAATAACTCAGCTCTCTAAAATTTGTGTGAAGTAGTTTAAATGAATATCTCTTTTGTTTTTCTTTCAGAAAAGGAGCCTGGATATCAGATGAGATTATCAAAGGTATCATACTGGCCTGGAGCCTCCTCTAGTGCTCAGTGCATCTTGTTTGGGGGGTAATGATGAAGTTCCAAAACTGGAAATCAGTTTGAGATGCCAAGACAACACAACAGATCCCCCTTATTCTCTGTGGTGGGCTGGATCGTGTCCCACAAATGATATGCCTAAGTCCTGACCCGAGGACCTAGGGACGTGACTGTTTGAGAGCAGGGTCCCTGCAGACGTACTCACGTTAAGGTGAGGTCATGCCATGGGGGGGGGTGCTTCTAGACTGGCACGGTCCCCACTCTCCTGCACATCCTACTTGGTTCATTCACCTGTTCTGCCTGGTCTCTGTGGTCCCACCTTTCCATTCTACAAATCAACGTTCGAGAGTCCACATGGTTTGATCGAGGTCCTAGGTGCACTGGTTGAGCCTTGGACCCAGGACAGTCCGATGCACTGATGAGCTAACACTTCACACAACAGTATGAACATGTAAGTGTCCAGTAAGACATAAAATACTCTTTTTTAAGACAAGATGAAGTCACCCTGGAGCAGGACAGGTCCTCCTCAGATGTGACCAGTGTTTGTAAGGAGGAAGACACAGGGACAGCACCTGTGACAAGCGAGGCGGAGACCCGAGTGCTACAGCTACCAGCCAGGGAACCCCCAAGGCACCGGAGCTCCTGACCTAGGCTGCAAGAGGCAAGGAAGGACTCCCCCCTCCAGACTTCCAAGAGACCACCGACCTGCTGATCCGGACCTCTCTGTTCCAAGCCACCGAGCCTGTAATGTTTTGTCAGAGTGGGTCTCACATGCTCCCGCCCTTGACAGAATTCCCACACGGGGTCTTTCTTCTAGGCTGAAGGGCACCAGGGCACAATCCGCATCATCCAGTCACTCCGCTGTGCGTCGGAACCCGGTCACCAGTTACCAGGTGCTTCCTGTGTGGACTTGGGAAATGTGGAGCGTTAGGCAGCTTCTCTAGAACAACCCCGCAGAGGTCCGGTGGAGGCTGTTGGGGGCACCGGGGGGGTCTGCGCCTTCCCGCTGCTGAAGCGCCCTGGACTGGGGGGAGAGGGCCCGAGGGTGGGGACCTCACCAGGAAGTCGCTGGGAAGTCCTTGTGATCAGGGAGGATACTTTCTCTCTGGAACATCCACCCTCTCCGTGGAGCGCGCATACAACAGATCTTCGTCCTCAAGCCCCATTCCACGCGGCAGCGAATATCTGAAAGCACTCGCCGTGTTGCCCTTGACACTCTGCTTTTCCGCGTCCTTCCACGTGCAGGCCAGAGGCGTGACGCCCGAGCGCTCCCCACGCTGATGCCCATTCTCTGCACACATTGCCCCCCTTTGCCTTTCCCCACGGGAAGCAGAGCTGCGCTCCCCTCGGAGCCTTCGGGCTTCCCAGCTCCCAGCAACGGGGTCTCAACCAGCACTGGCCCGTTTAGTAATGCGGGCTTTGCTCTTAAAATTAGAAAAAAAGAACATCACTTTGCCAGATTTTTTAAAAGAACACAGCAGGAAGCTACCAAACCAACAAGCTGGGTGACAGGAAGGGAATCGAGGATGCTAATGGGAAGGGGAGAACAATGTGGGGAGGGGGGCGGAGAGAGGTGGGCGCCCACCAAACCCCGGCCTGCTGCCTGCTGGGGTGGGGGCACACCCAGTGGCCACGGGTGCCGAAGGCACCCGGCGCGTCTGCGCACGGCTCCTGCCCCACTCCGAGCGCGCGCCTGGGGAGGGCCCCGGGACCCCCCGTGAGTCTATATCCGTATCACGGCGCGCTGTCTGCAGAAGCCGGAGGGCGGTACGCGCGGACCCGATGCTGCGGGGGCAGCCTGGGCAGCACGCTAGCGGAGAGGTCCCGGAGGCAGGAGCGGGGGCTCGCGGCAGCGCGTTCTCGTTGTGCCGCACGCAGGGAGACCCGGACTTTCTAAACTAGCGTCCTAAATTCTGTCCGGAAGGAAGTCAACAACATCAGTAACGGATAAGACCTGCAGAAGCCTGGTATCGCATCTTCGCCTTGGAAAAGGGAACATGGAATCCAGAGCACACCAAGTCATGTGGGTGATGTCCGGACAGGTGCTTTCTCCTCCGAGCCACGTGTGCATAAAACAGTGGCCGGCTCTATGTGGCTGGAACGGTGCGTCTCAAACGTGGGCGACCACACGAGTCACTGGGAATCTTGTGAAACATAGAGTCCCGTTCAGCAGGTCTGCCTCTCCAGCAAGCCCCCCACTGTGCTGCGAGGGCTCGTCTTGGAGTCACGCACTGGAGCAAGGTGGTGGGGGAGCTGCACGGGACGTCCTCCACCTCAAGCATCTAAGGCTCCAACCGCAGCTCCCCGAAAGCTCAAGGGGAATTGTGCCCTGAGTTGAAGAGGTCAGGCTGTACTCCTCCCTCAGAGGGACATTCTCACTGCAGGGTTATAAAACCGAGACCTGGAAACCAGGCTTGGAGGCCCAAGGCCGTTCTCCCTCGGAGGTCTTCCTAACACAGTGGACCTTCCAACAGAGCTCGTAGTCAGGGGCTTTTAAAACATAACTTTCCTGTTGCAGAATTTAAGCTGCTAACTTCAACATCGAAAATTATCTCCTCTGACTCCTTTTATGCATTTTTTCTTACCTGATTACATTTAGTAATAATGGATTTTGACAAACACTTACTGCAAAAATACAGGCTTTTTGTTTCTAAATTAGGGTCAAAACTAACTTTTGTTTCCTGAAGAGCACTTGAAAACACCAAATAAGATTGATCTCTGTCTAAAATCATTACACTTAGCAATCGTTTGTGTGCTAACAGCTGTTACTAAAGTTTCTACAATACTTGATTCTCCCAAGTGCATTAGGCACCCCACCTACAATTCTATTCAGATGGTTAATTTGCATGGATAATCTGTTTTGATTAGAAAGATGTAAAATCACAAGTGAATTCTAAGTTAGTTGAATTTTAATTTTTTAAGTTTTTTAAAAGACTTATTTACTTATTTTAGAGAGAAAGAGAGAGGAAGGGAGAGAGCATGAGCAGGGGGAGAGGCGGAGGGAGAGAGAGAGAGAGACAGAAAATCTCTAGCAGACTCCCCACTGAGAAGAACCTGAAGCAGGGCTCAATCTCATGACCCTGAAATCATGACCTGAGTGGAAATGAGTCGGAAGCTTAACCGACTGAGCCACCCAGGTGCCCCTAAATAAGTTGAATTTTAAATAAGGGCTTTTCATAAAGTACACATTAAATATTTAAACAAAAAATATAGTTCTGTTTGGCTTTAATTGGGTGGTTATTTGTTGTTTTGACTTGTTTTAATTCAATCGTTTTAAAAACATAGATTCAGCTTTATTTAAAATAGATTTCAATGTCTGTTGTATGAAGGAATTATATGTACTCAAGTAATACTTTATTTTAACTGAGTAAGTGAGTCATTTCTCTGTTCAATAATTAGGACTCATTTCAGCTATTTTTGGTTTGGTTCCATATTATATAGTTTATACAATAATCATCTTGAAAAGGTTCACCTCACATTTCTGAGTATTTTTCAATTCCCAATAATTTTAGAACTCCTAACCTGGCATCTCAGATGTGCACATTCAGGCGCGCGCGCACACACGCACACACGCACACACACACGCACACGCACACACACGCGCACACACACACACGCACACACACACGCGCGCGCACACACGCACGCGCACACGCGCACACACGCACACACGCGCGCGCACACACGCACGCGCGCACACACACACACACACGCACACACGTGCACGGTCCCTGTTGCCGCCACATTTGGTGTTCCTCTGCCCTCTCCTGGTAGCTCCTGAGATCTGCCTTTCTTAATTTTATTCTTACCTCCAGTTAGGTGTTTTTTCCTCTCGCAGAACTGCAGTTCAAAATACTTTATGAAGCAACTGGACAGATCATTAAGCGTTGTCTTGGCATGTCCAAAGGCTTCCAAGATGCACATGACCTGTAGCAACATGGAAACATTTACTGAGCTCATTTTTTTTAAATAAAGGGAATGATAGCAAAGATACAGAAATATCCCCTTATCTAAGAGGTTCTCTGTTGTTTGTATGATACCATATTGAATTTTTACAGTCCCTCTTTCTTCAACGGCAAACCACTAGTATCCTTTGCCTCAAATTTAATAAGATAATGATACGCAGAGGATTTCCCTGGGCTTTGCTATCTCTTCACACAAACATAAACAACTCAACACATATTAAGGCTTTTAGACTTAATAGGACAGCAGAAATGCTTTTGTGGCTTTGGAGGGGAGGAATTAAATTTAATAGAAGTGATAGTGAGAATTTCTTTTGAAACAAATGAACTTAAAACATTTGCTTCTAGCCTTCTTTTGAACGGGGATTGACACACACACTCTTTCAACCCCAAGCCTCCACATGTTCTCTCCTGTTCTCTCCCACAGAGCAGGAATAAGAGCTCTAGATGAAGCTCTTTTACTCGGTGTGTCTCACCACCAGTGTTCTCTTTCAGAGGGGGAGTTAGGGCTTTACGATGCTGTTAACAAAGATCTTCAGATCAACCCTGGCATCTGAAAGTCTTTCCTGACATGCTTCTTTAAACTCTGACTATAGAGAAAACACCATTTCTTATCACAATCGATTGTGTCTGTGACGATGATGATGACCAAGCATTTCTCCAGAAAGTGAAAATCTGGAAGGTTCAAAGTTATTTTTCTGTATCTTTCAAGTCATGGATGTGAAATGCAGTTCCTGCATCAGCCACAAGGAGACGCACACTAACCCATTACTTTATTGATAGAGTGGTTTCTTTATAATTTCTGGTGATAGTAAATTTTGAGAATTTTATTCTAAGTTAAAAAAAACTTTGCTGCTACTTTTTTACTTTCTGGATACTGCTCTATTAAGGTATTTGGTTCACCTGGAAGTATTTTATATCTTGAAAGATTATAAAATACTTTGATTCTAATCACAAATCCCAAGTGCTAAAAGTTGTGGTAATAGTAAAATACCACAAGATTGGTTTTTGAACTTTTGAACTTTTGGAGGAAACATGTTGAATCTTTACAGAAAGTCCAGGATTTAGGTCTCTTTGTAATAACCTAATTTTAGAGATCATAACAGTGAATCGATAGTAATGATGGCAGAAATATATTCTGAGAAATAATTTGAAATAGTATTTTTAAAGGTCCTGCTTTTTGCTTCTTTTCCAATAGTTCAATATTAAAGAAATATATTGTGGAATTAATAGTGTAAGTAAATCACATTTTCAACATGTAATTTACATTTAATAATCATTTAAAAATTCGTAACAAGGATTAGAATGAATTTTTTTCAAGTATTCTGGCTTCTAGCTATTTTGGTGCTATATCTGAAAAGAAACTGGCTTGTTATTATAGAAAAGAGACATAAAAGATAAAGAATAACATGTGCTCAAACAGGAAATAGAGGGTAATGGTTCAATACATGTGCTTTGGAGTGAGAAGTAGCTGCCCCCACATTCCAGCTCTGCTAGTAACAAATTATATGACATTAAGCCAGTTTCATGAATTCCCAGAACCACATTCTCCTTTATTTTAACACAGGAATAACTCCTTCAGTGCTCATCAATGTCAACTGTACAAATTCTCAGCTTGGTGCCTGGTACATGGTACGCATCCAACAAATAACAACGATTAGTTCTATTTTTGTTAATAATAGTAGCAAAATTTACTCTGTGTCAAGCATTATTCTAAAGTTTTTTATATGTAACCTACATAAATGAAGTAATACATAAAATTATGTATACTCTATACACACATAGGTATACATGTGTATGTACATTTATGCCTATATTTATTTTGATGCTCACAACTGGTGTCTCCGTTTTGTAGAAAAGGAAATGAGAGCTTACATAACTTCCCCAAGGTTGAGAGCTTGGAAATAGTGGAGCTGGGATTTGAACTCAGGCAATCTCTCTGCGAAATAAGGGGTGCTTCCTCACTGGGTCACAGGCCGTGACCGCTGGAACCACAGTAAGGACATAGAAGGCTTCAAACTCTAGGAAGCTAAACCCACTGAACAAAAGGCAAGAGCTCATACGGCAGTCTTGCACTATGCTCTGTTGATCCATAATTCAAGCTTCAGATTCGGGTTATACCGAAATAACATTTTTTATCTTTAATTATCCCTTTGGCCAATAGGTGGCACTAAATAACAATGTGTTAAGAGAAATACCAAAAAAAAACCCCAAAAAAACAAAAAACAAAAAAAAATGCACAACTGTTATTGTTCCACTGCTCACCTTAACTTTGAAAGAAAATAATGAGAATGTTGCACAGCAGCAAGCTTTAAATAAAAATATAGCAAAGGGAAGTAAGTAAATATTTCCTAAGTAGTCCCCGGTTCAAATTTTATTGGTAAGATTTTTTTTTCTATTTACAGTTGTATGTTTTTTTCTTCTAAAGCTTTAATAGCTGTATCTCTAAAAGCTATGCACTCCTATTTTGGTAGTTAATGTACGGTATTTTCTGAGAGCAAAAATCTGTGGCTTCCTAGATAAAAAACAACGGCTTAACCAAGTGGAACCCCATCACTCTGCTCTGTAAAAGCAGTTACTCAATAAATGTTTATTTAAGCAATTTAAATGGAACTGAATGTTCCTCCAATTTGAAAGTCATCTGGGCCAGAATTAGTGAAAAGTACCAGGCAGTTGGTTTTTTCCCCCAACACATGATTTTTATGTTCCAATAAACCTAACGCCACAGAAATCCCCTGCTTCTCCAGTTTGAAATTCAAATATGAAGATGTAAAACGGCAGCCTTCTTCACGGATCTTAGCTGTTTTGAAATTGTACAGGGGAAGCAGAAGCCACCTCCACGGTGACGGAGCTCAAACCCATTGGGCTCGGAAGCCCATTGCGAGGGCAGAACGTAAACCTCCACAGACTTTTGAGGCAGCACAACTGAAGTATAAGATTAAGATTCAGGAACACGACGGCGGAGTGTCTCTTGATGATACGTGTGTGGCCTGCATGAAAGTATCACAAATCATGTCTGAGACTCGGAGCCAGGCTCTCCCTGGCCTTCCAGACCCCACCCAGATCCCCCTCTTCCCCTCTGTGCCCCGGCGGAGAGTGCCGCTTGTGGGTCAGCGCGGATTATCAACAGCCAACTTCCCCCCAGACCTCTTCACTCTGTCCTTTTGCTGTCCACGCTCTAGATAATGATCTTTAATTTGGTCATCGATGGAAACCACAAGGAAAACGCTCTCTACGCCTGAGCCTACAGGATTCTCTGCTGACAGCCACCCGGCGGCGCCCCTTCATGTCCCCACCCTTCCTTCACTCTTCTTCAGAAACTGCTGATCAGAATAACCTCCGGTGACTGATTTTCTCTCGCAGTATCCTCAAGACCAGGGCAAAACTGCGTGGGCTAGAGGCAGCCAGCATCCCCAGCGGAGACGCCCTGTGGGTGTCCGGCACGCATGCGGCACCACGGGGCAGCCTCGCGCACCGCGCCTGCTGGTGTGGAGCCTCAGAGCGATGTCGCACGACAGGGTCTAGGCTGAATGGCTTTCCTATTCAGCTCACCCACGTCTCTCCTTTCAGGGGTCACCTAACGAAGCTTCCTTTCACCCCACCTTGCGCTGAATTTCAAGCCTTCTACTGAAGGCTCCACCATCAAGGATGCTCTTAGGCTCTCATCTCCTTAATAAGACTTTTCTTTCACGTAGGAAGTACGGGCCCATCTCTGGAATGTATAAAATTTCACTAAACCCCTATGATGTTATAAAGATTTACAGTCAATTCAGAAGTTTATCCAACACTTGTATTTAATTCCCACACGTACACTTGGGCACTGTGCAAAAATGGACTGGGTAATTTTCAGGAATGCTCTGGACACCAAACAATATTCATGAGGATTGTAATTTAGAGAGAAACAACAAAAAAAGCATAATTGACATGACGTTTAAGCCATACTCAACCCTGCAAAATATTATTTCACAAGACTAGAAATCACTTATTTTATGATTTATGAATAAAACAAACACGTGAATTAGAAATAGTTGTACTTGAAATTTGCATGGATATCATAATATTGATTCCCAGATGCTAACTGATTTGGAAGAGTTATATCTAGCTAAAGAAATGCAACTTAGTATGTATTCACTTAAGCTAAAATGCAAAGCCAATTTACATAAAGTAATCTAGAATGCAGTTTAGAAATTACACAGCCTGCTCTTTCACAAAGGATCATTTCAATAAATGATTGCTTTAGTCTAAATTTACATCGGAGACTATTGTTCCTTGTCAGTATGATCAGGCCAACAGATCCCATCATTCTATTAGTTAACCTAAGTCTATTTTATAACCATGTTGTTCTATAAATTCTCGAATTCTTATGTGTCAGTAGTACGTATCTGACAATATCTGAACAAAGATAATTTATGCTATTCTACCCAGTTCGACCCAAAATGTTAAATTATTTTGAGCTGTGTGGTAGAATTATGCAGGTTCTCAGTATATAGTTTGAGCTTAATAAATGGTTATGAATTAGAGTCATTAATGAACACATGTGTCACCAGAGATATGCTGCAGAACTGATTTATTGTACATTCTTCACAAAGAGAAACATCTCCAGAATCGGGCGTAGGTTTGGGAATCCAGAAGAGCAGATTTAATTTTTTAAAGACCTCTTTTTCAAAAGTAGAAAACAGGAGGAAATTACATTGATCTATCGATTAAACAGAAGTCCCTCTCATTTCTAAATGAGGAATCGCGTACTAACATGTCCAGAATATTCCCTTGTGAACACCACCATGGCAGAAATAACTCTGGCCTGCAGCTACAAGTCAAAAAGGCAGGGACAGAACACCAAACACAAACACACAATTCTCTCGGGGTGATGGGTTTCTAGATCTTCAACGTTTGAACTTTCAGAGGGTACCATTTTAGGGAATAATCTAAGCTAACAGCAACTGTTTTTATTCCAACGTCATCAGACACTTTCAACTATCAAAATGCCGAATGAAATGCAGGTGCCTTTCTGCAAATGCGTGCACAGCAAGTTTTGTGTAGGAGAGATTCTAGAGGGGCAAGGCGTGCACCTGCCAAACCTCACGGTGAAATGCACACCGAGAGAGAGGGTGCCGGGGCAACACGGCCAACGGTGTGTATCCTCACACACACGCAATAAAATTTACAGGGTCCTGAAGACATACAAATGGTGTATCCACATTAAATTCATTTGATATTATTAAAGTATATCAATTTAGGTAATTTGGGATAATTAACTGTATCTTAGGTGTGCCAGAAATACTTACAGGTACCTTACGCATGCCCTCATTCATCTGCTACCTGGAAACTGATCTCCTACTATGTGGCAGGCTCTAAGATGGTGCCTCTGAATTCAAATGACACGCACATGGCAGCTACTTAAGGTTATTGTTGAATAAATGACTAAGTGACAGGGGCACCATGGCCCAGTCGGGGGGAGGTGCGTTCAAAGGTGGCTTTGGCAGGATTAAGGGAACAGGGCACCTCTAGGGGGAGGGACCAGAAAACAGCAGCTGGTGTGACTGATGGGATACTGTGATCCTGGCGGAAGCCCGGAGCGGCTGGCCTCAAAGCGAAAGCCAGTTTCCAGCAGGGAAATGAGAAAGTGATTGTGCCATTTATTTGATGGGTGACCTGGGAGGAAATGCTGGAGCAATGTGCGAGCCCGTGCATTCATCTCTGGCCATGTCTTAGGGGCACACTGTGGGATGTCCACGAGGCTGCTGGGCAGGAGTCCACACGGTAAGAAGGGGGTCAGGTGGGGTTAGGACAGGGCGTGACACACACGGAAGGGACCAAGCCCTGGGACCACTGAGCACAAGCAAGCACAGAGTGTAGGACCCACGGCCCCTCAAGTAATGGGGTGCATGTAAGAGAACAATCATCATGCACTTGCATTATTCTAGAGTTATTTCCTATAAAATGATGAAATCGGAGGGTTAGCCCTACAGACGGAGACTCCCAGAGCAGCACACTTCTAAGTTCTGACCATTTTCCTGATTGGTTATTGATCATTTCTCTCTGTCTGTTCCCATCCCCCAGGGGTTCCCAAGCACTCACTGCAGGATCTTTCTAGCAGTTCCCGAGTTGGTTCCTCCAGTCTACTGTGCCAGGGAAAACCTTTTAACAAAACTTAACAGAACCGAGTAAGAACAAGAGACAAGCACCTGCATGTGTGTCCTTGGGTAAAATTTCTGAGTTTTTCTGACCTTTATCTTAGCTGCTCAGAGGACTTTCTGGTTCTTCCTTGAATCCTGACAATATTTTAGGTGGATGAAGGAACACAATGAGGTGTCTTCATATAAAAGCAAGTGTTACTGAATGTAACTTAAAATCAGTTCTAAACTGGGCAAAGGGAGTCAAAAGGCACGAAGTCCCAGTTATAAGTAAGTACTGTAGATCTAACGCACAGCATGGCAACCACGGTGACCAACACTGCTCTGTGTGTTTGAAAGATGCTAAGTGAGCAAAGCTTCAAAGTTCTCAGCACAAGAAAAAAAAATTTAACTATGTGTAGTGATGTATGTTAATGAAACTTACTGTGGTGATCATTTTGTAATCCATACACACATCCAATCACTATGTTGCATGCCTAAGACTAACACAATGTTGTATATCAAAAAAATCAATATTGGGGGTGAAGGTGTATTACCTGCCCATCAATGTCATTAACATTTCCTGTTATCAATTCTTTTAAATACATTGAAACTTTATTATCAGCTCTCAGTGATCCCCCAAAAAGAGGTGCTTATCGGGCCAAATCCCTCAAAAGAATCTACACACCAAAGGGGCACGTTGTAGGTGAACAACAACAATCTATTACATGTTTTCAATCCAACTGTTCTGAGCAAATATAAAAAGAGTATGTTCAAAGTATTTGAAAATATGTACAAAAAAATAAACCTTCACTTGAGCAGCATTAATTTGCACCAATCTTTTTTTCCCTTGTTTCTACAAACTTTGACTGATTTATGGTCAAACGATGGTCTTGCTATGATTTCTCCTTTTATTTGTAAACTACAGGTTTCTTGACTCAACATATTCTCCAACCCAAACAAGAAACTTACATGTTTAAATTTGGAATCAAACATAGGTCTGCTGGAGCCAGACCTGCAGATGAGGTGTCTCATTATTTGTTTGCTGGCTTCAGACTTGCCCGATCCTCTTTCTCCACTAAAAGAAAACAGAGAGAGAAAACCTAAGTTTACTGTTTTGGAGAATGTAGTAAACGATCCAATGAGCAGAGTAAGCCTCAGATACAAAGATGGTGAGGGAATGACAGAACCTTTAATGCATGTATGGTATCATCTAACTCTTCCCTTTGATTGGTTCATCCGACATATTTAGTACATATGTACTATGTCACATGCCCCATGGTGGTGTTCTAGATGCTGGGACGACATATGAATTTAACGCCAACGTCCCTAAATGCTGGGACATCATATCAATGGGGTGCGAGTCTGCCACATGCTCGGGAAGTACTGGTTGAGAATTTCTTGTGGAATCATCACTGCCTTCCACGCTACCCCTTCTCCAATGTCTCACAGGGTAGAACCGCACACGGAGGTGAATTACAGTAGAAAGGGGTCGGGCTGAAAAGAAAGACGACGACGACTTGTCCTCAGCTTCATAAACGAAGGTAAGTGACGTGGCCCCCAGGGGACAGCCGCTAAGGTGGGGATGTGTGTGTCTTAGAGCTACAGCCCATGACCTTGTTAAATCCTTCTGAGACTTCCAGGAAAGACATTACAACTTCCTCGGGAGACCCATGAAATCTTTCTAAGCTTCCCTTGTCTTCTCTTCAAAATGAACATAAAGCAAGCAACTCCTGAAACTAAGTTGTTACGATGGTCAGATGTGACCAGGTAAGTAAGGTGCCTGGAACAAGGCGGACCCTCCAACGGCCAGTTGCCTCTTGAGGCTGCTCTCAGTCTGACATTCTGCGTGTTCAGTTTTCCTTCAATCTAGGAACAAACGAACACTCACCAAACTTGTTATTTATAATGACAGTACTTTTGATATTTCTCAGGCATACTTCATAACTCATCTCATTTCTTTTTTAAAAAAGATTTTCATTTATTTATTTTAGAGAGAGAAAGAGTGTGTGTGCATGCACACCTGTGCAAGCAGGGAGGGGGGCAGAGGGAGAGAGAGAATCTCAAGCAGACTCCCTGCTGAGCGTGGAGCCTGACTTGGGGATGGACCTCAGGACCCTGAGACCATGACCTGAGCCGAAACCAAGAGTCAGACGCTTAACCAACTGAGCCACCCAAGCGCCCCATGACTCATCTAATTTCTATAAATAATAACTGTATTACATTTCTGACATGAGAAGATTAACACAGAAACCCAATACAGTAATTACTGATACAAAATAATATTCTTACTGCTTCCAGATAAAATGCTCATGAAAACAGTCTTTATTCATGAAAAAGTCTTTATGCATCGGATAGCTTAAAAATTAAAAAAAATATATAAAGCTCTTTACTAGTGCTGATTTCTCAGGCTTCTCCCTTGATATTCGTACTAATGAATTTGATTAAAGGATGTTTGCCAGAAAAGAAGAAGCCGAAATTTGGTTCTGTACTTCCCGAGCATGTACTATGCGACCTGAAACGGGGTGAGTCTTACAAGGTGGACGAGGCCAGCAGTCTGTGGACATGAAGACCCCAGAGACCTGTAAGGGTGTGCGGCTGAGCTGCCTCCCCTCCCCCCACCATGGCGCTCACTCTATCAGGACATGTAGGAATAGAGAAAATGATCATCAGTTCTCTTAGCTGGCTAAAATCCCATGCATTTTAACCATATCATAAAATCTCAAAATGGCCATATTCCATTTAAACTCTGAGTAAAATACAAGGAAATAAAAGAAAAAAAATGACATGGGATATGTTAGGATAGGGTTGACTCTATAGGCTATCACATTAAAACTAAAAATCCTAGCTCAGTGTGTTCAAGAAACATTCCTTGATCTGCAAATCCAGACTGCGATTCAATTAGAAATTGACCAGAGATTTTGGGTGGTGCCAATCAGGGACCCATAAGAATTTTAAAACTTATTTGATCAGTCTTGTCTGCTAAATCTGCACGTGATAAAGGCAGACCCTAGGCTGCGTATTTCACAAGTTACTTGTATGTTCAGCATGTAACATTAATTTAGATTTGCTCCACACACTGTTAGGATAATGGATTTTTGTCACAAGTGCTCTAACAATTAATTAAAACCATCTATCAGGGCCTTCAGAAAATTAAAGATAAGATAGATGATGGTGAACACCAAACTCTCAGTTATAACCCAGGACCAAGATCTGAAAATTATTAAAAACTATTCCTCAAGATGAAGCCTAGGGTGCTAGTGGGGCCTAAATTATCAACAAAGTGAAAAATAGAATTAAAATTTGAAAATAAAATTTAAAAAGTCCCACCCTAGTCCTAAGTTACAGGATGGCTATTCCAGGAATATTTGTGTTTTGAACTCCAAGTCTTAAATTATCCTTTGTAAATGCTGGTTGTAAGACAGAATAGACTCTCCTGGGGCGCCTGGGTGGCTCAGTCAGTTAAACTCTTGGTTTTGGCTCAGGTCGTGATCTCAGGGTCGTGAGATGGAGCCCCACATCGGGCTCTGTGCTCCCTGAGGAGTCTGCTCAGGACTCTTTCCCTCTCCCTGTGCCCCTCCCTCCTGCTCTCTCTCAAATATAAGTAAATCTTTTAAAGACACAACAGACTCTCAAAAATGATCTTTAAACAATGTATTTAGCTGACTTCTAAATTTACTAATTTTAATGAATTAGTATAATAAATGCAGAAAACCTTTATCTTAGTCAAGACAATCGAGATAGAGAAGCCACATAAAAACATCAATCCTGAAAGAAGAAAGGGAATGACTAAAATAATAAGCCCTTGTGATCACAGATTTGTTCTTCTTCTCTTGAAACCTGAACAAAGTAATTTTTTTTAGAAAAACTGGCTGATACATGGCATTATTAGCCTTTAAAAATGCCCCAAAGAAATACTGCTTCTGCAGAATATTAACAAGTCCTACTGGAAAAGCAATTCCATGGGCAAATTCATGGAGAAAGCACTGGGTTACAGATAAGCAGGTTTATTTACTGAAAGAACTTGCTAGAGATACTGTGAAATCTATAACAGGCAGATTCCCAAAGGATACAATTCATTGGCAACTCAGAACTTTGCTATGGACCAATGTCTTTCAAAAGAATTGAGTGGATTCAATAAGAATTTAGGAAAATCCACGGATCTGTGGCCATCATTTTAGGGAAGCCCGGGCGGGCCGCTGGAAACCTCCTTGGGGTAGCCGCAGCAGGCCGGCCATGCACTGGTGGGTAAGCTTCATTCAGGCCCAGAAGCCAGACTATGGGCTCCCATCCCACATATAGCATCCACTGGACTCCACACTAATTAATCACCACTTACTAATTCACATTATGGGGCTCACATCCCAGATTCACTATTCACTAATTGGAGACCCTAGACCAGTGAGTTACTCCTCCTAATACACAGTCACCTGACACATAAAATCGTGATGCTAATAATAATACCAACCTTCTAAGACTGCTAAAGCAGTGGGTAAGGGAATACGTGGAAAGCATCCGGTGGAGGGTCTGGCGCTTACTAAGTTCTCAATAAACATCAGTTGTTATTATGACCACACTAGCACACATGCTCCACAGTCTCATGATTTTGTTAAAAGTGTTCCCCTTTCTGGTCAAAGTTAGACTAGACAATTGGACAGATAAAGCAGATGAAAACACAGTTGCTTGATTCAAGAACGGCTGGGGCCACCCTGGCTCCAGAGCCTCTCCTACCCCGGGGACTCTTCAGAACAAGGGTGAAAACACCACGTGCTCACAATTTTGAAAACCAGAACACTGACGTTTGCAAGCCATCTATCTGACCCTCTCTGGAACTTTTTGATCAAATTGATAATGTAACAGTGTATAAATAAGTGCTTACTTAAGTATTTAAATGTCTTTTGGGGGTGCCTGGGTGGCTCAATCGTTAAGCGTCTGCCTTCGGCTCAGGTCATGATCCCAGGGTCCTGGGATCAAGCCCCGCATCGGGCTCCCGGCTCAGCAGGGAGTCTGCTTCCCCCTCTCCCAGCCCCCCTGCTTGTGTTCCTGCTCTCACTTTGTCTCTCTCTGTCGAATAAATAAATAAAATCTTTTAAAACAATAAATAAATGTCTTTTGGGTTCTACCCAGGTGTCCATGTGTCCCATCTTTCATTTCACTTTGATGAGTTGGGCAAAGCTTTATTTTTATTTTTATTTTTTTAAAGATTTTATTTATTTATTTGACAGAGAGAGATAGCAAGAGCAGGAACACAAGCAGGGGGAGTGGGAGAGGGAGAAGCAGGCTTCCCGCTGAGCAGGGAGCCCGACGTGGCACTCGATCCCAGGACCCTGGGATCATGACCTGAGCTGAAGGCAGACGCTTAACGACTGAGCCAACCAGGCGCCCTGGGCAAAGCTTTATTGACAACATTCAGTTGCAGCCAACACTACTGATTATAACTCGGGCAAAGCCTTGAGGATTTACAGAAGTCCCCTCTGGTAGAGGTTGCTCCTAATACAAAACGTAATTCTCAATGCAGATCTTATATTAACACTGAAATAATTCTTTAATCCTTTATCAATACATAATCACATTTCACCACTACATCTTGCAGTTCGTGTGTGTGTGTGTGTGTGTATGTGTGTGTGCGTGTGTGTGTTTGCTCCAATGTGAATCACTGTCCTGAGCTTCTTGCTATTTATGAGCTAATGTTACCATGATATTTCAGTATAAAATACTTCCGGGTGTACACTTTTGGTAAAATATGAGCAGAGGTAAATAGCTAGAAGCAGGTGAGAAAACCCACAACTGTAGGGTAATAATTTGTATTTTGGACCACACCACAAAGTGGGCGCTAATAGTGGGTGCCTTTCTTTCCCGGTGATTCCTGAGGTTTGAAAGCAAAAACACTCTGGTCCCAAGTAGTAAATCTTCAAAATGAATTGAGTTTCAGGTTAAGTGTGTTGATATTGATTCCGCCACACTTGGGGCTATTCCTAAGAACAGAGATGTTTCTCCTTGGTAACGAGTCAAATTACTTATTGCAAAGACACGCTGGACGGCCAGGTGCTGAGGAAGTCAATAAACATGAACCATAGGAAAGGAGGAGGGTCTCAGGCCCAAGCCCCCAGCGCATCAGCGCATCATCAGCGGGTGGGCGAGCGAGGGGCGGGCTCACCTGAGAATGAAGCACTGGGGCCGCTGCTCCTGGAAAAGCTGGTGAAAGGCTCTCTCGGCGCAGGAGAAGATGTGAGGCGGCAGGGAGGAGGAGCAGGGCTGCCCCGTGCTGTTGAGGTATAGCTGAGACACCTGCCAAGCAGTGCGGGAGACAGGGAGACAGACATCCGTGAGAAGGTGCGGGCTTCCCCCGCCTCCGGGCACAGCTGCCTTATTTCCAGTATCCAAACGCCAGGGAAGCTCCATGTCTGAGAATCATTTGTAACTACAAAATGCCTGCGGAATTATGCCCTTTGCAGCACGTTTTGAGCGTTCACAATGATAAAATAGAGGCAGGTGTCTAATCCCTCATTACTTGGTTCACAGGCTTGAAATTATTCTGCTGTCCTTAAGCAGAGCATCCCACACACATCCAGTTTGATAGAAACCTGTGAAGTAAGCTGAACCCGCGGGGATTTACATCACACACAATGTCACTCAGCAACATTTCATTTCAGTAACATAAGACAGAAAGGATTTTTAGTCCGAGTAGAAAGCACCTGCAGCTGAAACACAGAAGAACTTACAAACGTCTCAGAAAAACAAAAATGAACTTAATTTCAGTGACACAGTGATTTATGAGGATGGCCATGGTGCCAGTATGTTTAGTCCTTTTGAGTTTCTAGTAAATTCTGTTATATTAGAATAAACACTGAATGATAGGGAGATGCCTGAGTCATGAAGAAATATCAGATCAACTTAATTTTTCTTTTACAAAGTGACTGGCCTGTAGCTTCAAGGCCGTCAAGGGTGGAAAGCTCATCAGAAGATGGAGGAAAGTGTCCAGACAAGGTGAAAGTGCACCCATCCTGCCACGGAGGCCTGGGTCTTTGGCTCTGTGGGCATTAGTGGGGCGATGGGAAAGACCTGAGTGAGGCATCTTGACTGGATGGTCACAGTGCATCAGGAGCAGTTTCCTGATTCCAGGTGTGGTATGGAGGTTACACACTGAACGCACAGAGCATGTATTCAGGGCTGATGGGACAGCATACCAGCAAGTCATTTGAAAATGGTTGGGGAAAAAGTTGTTTGTGCTATTTATCTGCAAATTTTTCATATGTTTGAAGTCATTTGAAATCATAGGGGAAATAATTTTTTTCATAGAATAAATGACCTACAGCTATAAAAAAATAATTGGATGAATCTCACAAACATAATGTTGAGTGGAATCTCTCAGACACACGAGAGAACATTCAATAAGATAAAGTATAAAACCAGGTAAAACTAAGCCACACACCGTAGAAGTCAAGTCGGTGGTGCCTTGGCCAAGGTGCTGGTGATCGCAGAGGGGTGAGAGCAGGGCTTCTGGGGTGTAGGAAATGCTCTGGACCTGAGGGCTCGTGAAAATTTACCCATCAGGACACTTAGAAACCCATGTTCGCTGCATCTCAATAAAAACTCCAGAAAGCCAAAATCCTTAAATACCGTGGTCCTGGTGCAGACACCAGAAGAAAAGATCACCTGGGCAAACTAGAGAACTCAACCTAAGCCCACACATGGGTGTGGATTTGGGGTACGAAAGGGGGCTGTTTCATGCATTAGTCATAAAGAATGGGCTGATTATCAGCAAAGGAAATGAATGCTGATCTCTATCTCATGCCATGTGTAAAAATGAATTCTAGATGAATTTAAGTCCCAAATATAAATAGCAAAGCATAAAACATTTACACAAGTAAACAGAATAATACTCTCATGATTTTGGAATAAGGAAATAGGGTTCCCAAACACAAATTATAATGGGAGGGATGAATCAATATCAAAATAGTACATTTGACAATTGCTGTTCGACCACAAGCATCATACATACAATAATGTGATAAAAATCAAATATAGAGAGGAGATTAAGCTGTGTGTATTATTAATACATTAACAGTGTCTTATAAACGACTCCAACAAATAAATAAGACTGGAAATAAAATAGAAAATTGGACAAAGAATACAAACAGAAAAGAATAACCAATAAATATGAGAAAAGAAGCAGAAACTCTCTGGTAAGCAGGAAAATGCCATTTCAAATAGGAAGGTGACAGATATAAAATACTAGTAACTTTATCAATGGTTTAATAATAATAATAATGGCTTACACTTGTTATGCGCTTGCTACTGTTCTAAGCACTTCGTATTCATCCAATTCTCCTAGAAATCTATTACTTGGGTAGGAGAATGATCTTCCTTTTTACGAGCGAGGAAGCTGAAGCAATGAAGTTAGTAACCGGTCAAAGGTCACAGAGCTAATTAGTGGTGGAGCTTGGTTTCAAAAGGAAGTTTCCTCCAGCACAAGAAAAACGCACCTGCACCATGGAGAGTTGTTCTAACTCAAACAGTGACTTGGTAACAACTTCTAAACTTAAGGCGGGCTTGACCAGGACTCTCTCTGAAGAAACTCTCGAACATTAGCAAAAAGCACACATGAAACGGTTCTTAGCCTCTTTTTAAAAGCAGAAAACACGCCAATAATTTAAAAATCAGCATAGGGTTTAATGGATGAATATAAAGGATTGTGTTTTAATATGATAAAATACTATAGGGCATTTAGAATAAATTATCAAGACCTGAAACTATCAACATAAAAAAGTGCAATGGCTAATGAAGATTTGTTTTGTAAAAGGATATAGTTAATATATGTGAATGTATCAGCAATATATCTGAGTGAATTAAAATGGAAAATAATGGCATTTGAAGTTTTTTTTTCACATGTACAGTAGTTCCCCCCACCCTTTACCCATGTGGTCTATGTTCCAGGACTCCCAGCGAGTGCCCAAAACCACAGAGAATACCGAACCCTATATACACTATGTATTTTCTTTTATATACTTAACTATGATAAAGTTTAATTTATAAATTAAGCCCAGTAAGAGATTACCAAGGGTAACTAATAATGAAATAGAACACTTATAACAATATACTGTAATAAAAGTTGTACAAGTGTGGTTTCTCTGTCTCTCTCAAAATACCTTCTCTTCCTGCATACACCCTTCTTCTTGTGATAATGAAAGATGATCAATTGTCTACATGATGAGATGAAGTGGACTGAGTGACACAGGCATGTGACGCAGGCTTCTGATGTGATGCTACATGAGAAGGAAGACCCTTCCCCAGTTGACCCTGACCTCGGGTAACTGAGACCATGGAAAGCAAAACCACAGGTAAGTGGGACAACCGTATGTGCCTATGTATAGTGAACATACGAAAGACTGGATGAGGGGCGCCTGGGTGGCTCAGTCAGTTAAGCGTCTGCCTTCGGCTCAGGTCATGATCTCAGGGTCCTGGGATGGAGCCCCGCATTGGGCTCCCTGCTCAGCGGGGAGTCTGCTTCTCCCTCTCCCTCTGCTCCTCCCCCTGCTCGTGCACATGCACTCTCTCTCTCTCTCTCTCTCAAATAAAAAAATAAAATAAAATCTTTAAAAAAAATGATTGCATGAAAGGATAATAGTTTCGGGAGAGTGGTTGTCATTGCTTTTGAAAAGGAATTTGCCTGTGTTCATAGCACACTACGCCAGCTAATCTAAGACACCATACAATTAAAACAAAGCTTTATTTTCTGTTCTACGCAGAAAACAAATGTTACAATTGAAGTAGGCCATGATGTGTTCTTAGCACATCTTTATAGTTGCATCCCAATCTCAGGAGTGTATGTGAACAAATGGAACTTCTTTATTTGAAATAGTTTTCAGAGTTTTGTATTTTTAATTATTCCAGAATTTAAAATGGATACCAAAAGGATTAATGATAGCGACATATACATTATAATTCATAAACCAACCAGGGAGTTCTAGCCCAGCTCTGTTTTCTTGCAGGACAAATTTCTGTTCCTTTTGAACACTTGCACTAACACTATTTCATGTCCCAAGTCCAACACCGGCCTAATCAAATTTTAACAGAATGCCTTTAAACTCCATCTGTAAAATCCTGCTGAGAATTTCATTAGATGTTACAGACAAGGCAAGACAGAAGAGAGCCAGGAGCATATGTCACTCCTACTCTGCTTCTTCAAACCTCCTAAGGGTCACATCTTCTCTTAAGGCCAAGTTTTAGTAGACTTTAGATGTGTAAGGGATCTTGGGTGTCTACGTTTTTTCATGCTAATCAAACTCACATTTCTCAGATCCCTTCTCTTAAAAGCCCTCTCCTTTCCATACAGGGTCAGACTTTATGTTGTAGCCTATTCCACTGCTATCCCCTGGTTAATACTTAGCTCGATGCTGATTCTAGGCTTTATAGGTAATATAAATACAAAATAATAATGTTAATATAATAGTGCATTTTAATAAAGATAATAATCAATTCTACTTAATTATTTCTATTGAAGCTTGAAGATCTTCACTTAGGCAGTTCCAGTTTCTGACAGGCCATGTAACCTTCAGACTGGTTACCACTCATTGCCACTGTCATTTTCATTATTAATATTATTGGATGGTCCCACTGGGTCCAGCAGCTACCGTCAGCAACAGCCCCTCCCTCCCACATGCCTTGTCTCTCCCCTTCACCTTATTCTCTCCCCATGTGCATCATCTGGGAACGAAAGGGTTCTGGTCACTGGTAATTTGAAGTGCTCGACTGGAACCCATGGGCGAGATGACATCACATCAACCTCATTCATGGGCACCGCCCTTTGCTGGACTCTGCTTCCAGTGAAGAAGGTCCGCTTTCCAGCCGCACCCGTCCAGAGCCAACACACTCTGCTCAGTCACCCCAGCTACTCACCAAACTCAAACATGCAGTGCGAATATTAGGAGACCAACAGCAAACAGAATCTGAAAATTAAACGAAGCCCTAAGCCTGACATGCTACACCAGGTGCCATTTTACATAGTGGGAGAGCTTAATCTCACTGCCAACAGAGGACAAAGATAAAGTGGGTACTGATCATCTCTGTGTCCTTGAGTACTTAAAAATATAACCTTGAGAAATTATCTCCAGATCTTTTATCTGGAATGGTGTCATTATTTTGCACACTGAGGTTTCCAAGTGATGCATCTTTGGTTTGTGAAGTCCACAGTAAAGGGAACAGTGAGAAACACCTAAGACAAGTCTGACACAGATGTATGAGGGGGCCAATGCGTATTTATGGCTGAAGTGTCCATTCTCATGACATTCACGTGTTCACTGGTTTCCACAATGATAGAAACACCACGCTGTTTGTCCTTTCTAATTACTACCTCGGCAATGCATTAGACCTGGGTTCTTTTAAGGATTTTATTTATTTATTTATTTGAGAGAGAGAGAGAGAGAGAGAGAGAGAGAGAGAGAGAGAGTGCGTACCATGAGCAGGGGGAGGGGCAGAGGGAGAGGGAGAAGCAGACTCCCCGCGGAGCAGAGAGCCCTATGTGGGGCTCGATCCCAGGACCCTGAGATCATGACCTGAGCCGAAGGCAGATGCATAACCAACTGAGCCCCCTAGGCGCCCCTAGACCTGGTTCTTTAGTGGCTGCCATCTGCCCTATCATTGTGGTCCCCCAACCCCTCTTCCCTTCCCCTCCCCTCTTCCCTATCTTCTTCCTCTACCTCCTCCTCCTGCTCCTTCATGGCTTTCTACTATTTTTCTACCTTATTCTTAGACTTGGTATGAATCTAGAAATCTTATAAAATGAAATATCTATGTGAATTATATCTAATCTTGCATCCAAGGTAGAACCTCAACATTATTTCAATTTAACCTCCAAAAACTTTGTACATTCACCTGAACCTGGTTTTTCATCAATTTTTCTCTTCTTTCATTTTCTTTTTTGTTATAGATTCTCCTAGACCCACAAATTCAAAACCTGTATCTTCAAGGGATGCTCTTCTCTTATTTGTTCCTTAAATGAAATTCTCTGCAGGTTCTTCTTACTGTCTTTTCACAGACCCACTCAACTTCTGCCCATTACCACCAGAGCCCCCACACTAGGCTTGCTCTTGGATTACTTCAGTACCTACTAACTCGTCTTCTTGCCTAAATGTCTCTTTTTCTCACACTGATGGTGACAGACTTATAAACACTATTTGTATCAGACTTGTTTGTTTCTCGTGGGTCCTTATTTTCTAAAATTAAAACCCAAACTCTCTAACTTAGCTTTATAGTCTAGATCTAAACCAGACTTTCAACTCTTTAACTTTTTGAACTTCTGCTCTTATAGGACTAGTCTATGCCTTCTTCTCAATGATCCTATATTTTTTGTCCCCATAATGTGTGTCTAGACAATTCTCCAAGGTATACCTCCTCTCCCCTTACCAGAATCTTACTCATTCATTGGGATTTGCACCAATCACATTGCTTTTCCAACTAATGCCTTTCTCAACTTGGTAAGATTTCCTTCCCTCCAACCTCCTGACTTGTCAATTAATAGTGTACATTCTCAATATAGCTATCTTACTGTCCTCAGCTACAAGTGAAGTCTGTGATTATTTTTTATCATTACTTATGTATTATCTCTAGAATGTCAATGCGGTTTTTAAGGATGAGGAGACTCTTAGCATCCCCAAATACCTAACATAACATATTGTGTTTAATAGACTCGATAAATGTTTCTCGGTTTGATGAAGCATTCTTGTTCCCGATTATAACACTGCTCCTTTTGCAAAGCCTTTTCAGAAAGATCTGGCTACTTTGCTATTTTCTCCCTCTCCCCTACCTCTTACGGGTTTAAAACGAGCAACGTCACTTGCCTTCAACATAAATGGGCAGCACAATAGTGAGCAACCCCCCCTCCGCTGGTTATACTTCATTTAGAACCATCTGCCTACTGGCCCGTTAGGTGCTACTCCTCCCCAGTGACTGTTCGCATCACCTCAACATTGCTTATGGCCGCAAGCCACCTCAGGGACAGGGCTGCTTGCTGCCATGTGTTTGTGTTAGTCTCAAAATGCAGTTCAATACAGAGGGCTCTACACCCATGACTAATGGCCTCCTGGAAATAAGAAATGAATGTTATGCAAAGCTTAATATAACAGAGTTAATGGTAACAAAATTAAAGTGAGTTACAGATGATGCATGTGGATTTTTTTTCAACACGAAACACAGAAGTCATTCTCCTGGTCTATATAATCCTTATAGATATAATCATATTCAATGTTTTAGTTTCTTCTTTTATTCAACTAACGAGGGGAGAAACTAAACTATCTGAACAGAATTTATTTAAGGTAATAAGCATATATATGATTATATAATCAATAAGCACAAAAATAAGTGAAACTTTCTCTTGCATGTCCATAGGACAATGAGGTAACTTGATGTGGTTCAGTACACAAGTAACTGATTTAAAATCACAAGGTACTAAGATTGCTACAGAGGATAACCACTAATTCAGCCTAAAAATTAAACCTTATAGCTACCTAATATCTATAATTATATTATGAGTTATTGCTTGTAGCCCAGGAAAGTGCAAAGTATGTAATTCTACATAATGGAAGTGAATTCCAAAAGCACCAAACACAGTACAATCTCATTATGTCCTATAAAAAGTGGGCGGTTTTATTGTAAGCTTTTTATCAGTGCATATTTTACCTAACTATATTTATTTTCCTTTCACATTTTATGTCAGAGTCCACCGGAGATGATGGATATAAAGGATGATACGTATAAGTTATATGTTGCATTCACCATTTTAAGTTTTAATGAACTGTTCATGCAAAACTCTCAGTGCATCATGTTTTATTCCTACATTAATAGAGAAATATGTCTCTTAATGTCTCTCCTTTTCTCTATTACATGTATTTCTGAAAGACCTGCAAATACAACACATTACTTGAAGCCATAAAACTGCCAAACTACTAACACCCTAAAAACGAAGAAACCACAAAATCATAGGTCTGTTCCATTTGAGATACAATATTACATGACAAGCAATGCCATACGAAAACAATTTATTATGGTACATTTTCCCTAATGCTTAGAATTTGACTTCTAGATCTATATAAGCATTTTTATAATAGCTATATATGTATATATTTTATGTAATTATTTATTTATTTTTAATTTAATTTAATTTAATTTAATTTAATTTAATTTAATGTTATTATGTTATGTTAGTCACCATACAATACATCATTAGTTTTTGATGTAGTGTTCCACACTTCATTGTTTTCATATAACACCCCGTGCTCCATGCAGTACGTGCCCTCCTTAATATGTAATTATTTAAAACCGGCTTTTGTCTCACCATAAGATTCTTACTGACTCTATGATCCAATGTAATACCATAAATATAAGCCAGAAACAACACATTAATATTCAGCTTTAAATAGCAGGAGTTCTCTCTCTTTCTCTCTCTCTCTCTCTCTTAAATTGAAGAATAACAAACTTGGAAAGCATCAAAGATGCAGAAAACTCAGGCGCCCTGGTGGCTTAGGCACCCTGTTAAGCGTCTGCCTTCAGCTCAGGTCATGATCCCTGGTCCTGGGATCGAACCCCACACTGGGCTCCCTACTCAGCAGGGAGCCTGCTTCTCCCTCTCCCCTCTGCCCATGCTCTCTCTTGCTATCTCTCTCTCTCAAATAAATAAAATTTTTTTAAAAAAAGATGCAGAAACTGTTTTTAAAGCAAAATTAAAAGCCCCAAATACTTATTTATACAAGGCAGAAAATTGACAACATAGCTATATAACTTAAATAACTATCAAATGAAACTCCAAGAACTTAGAAAGAAGGAGATGATAAAAAGAAAAAGCAGAAATCCACTGTATAGAGAATAAATTTACAGCAGAAAAAAAAATTAAGTCAGGCAATGTTTTTCTTGGAAAAGATTAATACAATCAAGAAATTCCTAGCAAATTGATTTTAAAATGTCAGAGAAGGCACACATGATCAACATTGGGAACGAAAAGAAATCACTCGAAACTCTACAAACATTAAAAAAATAAATAGGACTCATGAGTAATTACATGCCCCAGACTTTGGAAGATTAAATATAATGAACAGAATCCTTGTAAAACAAAATTATTTAAGAACTGACATAAAAAGAAATAAAAATCGAACAGTGCATATGTCTATTTGATCATCACAGATCAGGTTAAACTCCTCTGATAAAACTCCTGAGAGGACTGCAGGTGACTGCTCTTGCCTTGTCCATCACGGGACCACACATTCAGGTTGCCCAAGGCTAAGGTTGGGATCTGCCTGAGTGGAGTGAGAACAGTGGGCAAGGTGCAGCAGTTTTAAAGCAACAGGGAAAGTCAATTTGGTAAGTAGGGCGGAGGTTGGGGTAGTGAGTGGGCATTCTATTTTGCAGGTGGGGTTTCTATAAGAATTCTTCATTGATCCCTTGGGAGCTTAAAGAAGGTGTTCTCTCTCCCTTCCCCTCCTTCTCTCCTTCTCCCTCTTCTCCTCCAACCTCTCTCCTACCACCTCCCTCTCCAACATCTAGGAGCATGTCCCTGCTTCAGAAACACGTGTCCACTCCCCTTGGCTCTTTGTCATGCTCCTGCTCCAGATATGGGATTCTGCTTTCACTGGAACCAGCCTTGTGCTTACAAAAAAATAGAGAGCTTGCACGATGATATTCTTGATCTATTACTACTCGAAAATCATGCTGTGTTTTCAGTTGCCTGCAATAATTTTCCAAAAGCAATTTCTCTTTTAATTTTGAGAGTCTCATAATTAAAAGTGGAAGGTCATTTGGGAAAATGTACAAAATTCAACATTATCCTTTCTTATTCTCATTGTTTTAACATCATAGAACTTTTTTGAAAGACGTCATGATGTTGAAATAAGGACTGTAAACCAACTGGTCTTGGATTAGGTAAAAGTATGGAAAGTAGAGTAATATATTATTTAATTTTAGAAGTCTGTCTATTGACTACAATTGTAGGAAAATGACACATTCTAAGTGCAAAGGAATCTTTTGAGAAGATAACGTTCTTTTCCATTTTTGTCTCAGAACAAATGAAAGTCATTATTATGCAAATTTCAATTTAGACTTCTCTGAGACGTTTGACTTTACTTATTGTTTTGGGGTTTCTTCTTAATCAATCATTTGATGCAAATAGGTATTTTAAATTTTATACTCACCATGGTGGAATAAATTGGAAGCTCCTTGAATGGGTTAACAAGCAAGAGGATGTCTCCAATAAAAGTCTGTTAAAAGAAAAGGATATAAATAGTTGGTGGACTATATAAATAGAACACTTAAAATTAAAAATGATATAATTTTAACATCATTGTATAAAATATAGAAAATAAATAAAAGCCATATATTAACATTTTGTGCACTGTTTTGAAAGTTTGTATATAAAGAAATAGGAAAGTCAAACTCAAATAAAATAAAACCAATAGGCTTGTTCCATTAAACACATAACAGATGAAATGACTGCATTCTAAGAACTGCTTTTCTTAAAGGGTTTTTTTGAGAATTAGACTGAATAAAAAAATAAAAATTCAAACACATGGCAAAATATACTGGAGGAAATAAATGTGGTAATGAGTTCTATGCTGCTACAGAATAAGAATAAAATGCACAACTGAAAAACGAATAAAGCACAGAAAGCAAATAAAAATACTTTTGTAATAAACAAAGGACAAGTTATGAGATGTAAAGGCACAAAAAACAGATAGAATAAATACAAGTCAAATAATAAAATGATAGATTTAAACACCCCCAAAACCAGTAATTACATCAAATGCAAAGCTACTAAATACTCTAACCCTAAAGGACAAAGATTATGAACTAGATTAAGTACTCTGTATAGATTAAGAAAATTTGGAAATGAAAAGATAAAACAAGATACACCTGAAAACAATGGTAACAGGAAAATGTGGTTTAGCCACACTCAGTTCACACAAACAAAATAAATAAATAAATAAAACTGATGAAAAGGGACATTTCACAGTGAAAAAATGTTAAATCAGGAAGATACAGCATTTAAAATTTCAGTGAGACTAAAATCTAGCACAAAATATATGAAGCAAAAACAGCTGTAAGGAGAAAAATGAATTCACAATGACAGTGGGGACTTTAAATAATTTTTTTCTTAGTAACTCATGAAATAAGCAGGTAAAATTTTGAAATAAATAATTACCAAGTGATTAGTTGACTTATATACAACACTGTTACCAAACAATTGCAGAATATACATTCTTTGAGATTGAACACAGGTCAGTTTCATTATATTTAAAGGACGTGAATCACATAGAATATGTACTCTGATCACGGTAGCATTAAGACAGAAATTAATAATGGATATCTAGAAAATCACCAAATGTTTGGGAATTAAACAGTGCATCTGCAAATAACCTATGAACCAAAAAAGGAGCCACAATGCAAATCAGAAAATATTTTGATTCTAACATATCATAATTTGTGAGACGCAACCAAAGGTATACTTAGTATGGAAATTATTGCCCGATATGCTATTTATAAAAAAGAAGAAAGGCTGGTAATTATGATCTAAGTATACTTTTCAAGGAGCTCATCAAATCACATAAAGATAAAAAGAAATATAATCATTATAACAACAGAAATTAATGGAATAGAAAACAAAAGTCAAAAGGTGGTCTTTTGAACAGTGTAATAAAATGGTGAGTACCCTAACAAGATTGAGAAAACAAGAGAAAATACATAAACTACCAGTGTCCTAAATATGACATTACTACAGACAATATAGACTTGAAAACAGATGAAGGGATATTCGGAATCACATTTTAGCCACTATGGATATTTAGAAAATGTGGACAACAACCATCATCTTCCCAAAACTAACACAGTAAGATATAGAACATCTGACTAGTTTTTTTCTGTGAAAGAAATCTGAATCTATGTCTAAAAACCTTTCCACAAAGAAAATTTAAACTTCACTGGTGCATTCTTCCCAACATTGATGAACAAAATAAGCAAATTCCTATTGTTCCAGAAAATAACAGAAGAGGAACACCATTTCATTTTAGGAGGCCTACATAAACTTGGTATTACAAACCTAAGTAGTATATTGAAAGAAAGGAAGGTTACAGGCTGTTCTCTTTCATAGCGTACATGCAAAAATCCTGAGCAAAATACTGACTAATTAAACCAAGTAATACATTCAACAGATAATCTGTTTCAACTAAATAGGATTTGTTCTAGTAAGGTTTGGCTTCATATTAGGAAATCCACTCTTGTAATTTATAATACTAAAAAGTAAAGAACAAAAGCCATATGATCATCTCAATAAATGTCAAAAAACATTTCATAGCATTCAGTGCCTACTCTTGATTAAAAATAAGAACTTCGAAAGCTATTAATATAAGGAACTCCGTTAATCTAATAAAATTTAACCATACCAATGGAAGAGCTACTGAAAACAACTTGCTTAATGATAAAACATCGAAAGCTTTTCCCTGAGATCCAAAATGAGACAGGGATGCCTATCTTAGATTATTGTCACCTCCCATTACCTTTTTATTAAGAGTGTCATCCCGTGAAATAAAACAAGAAAAAAAAAAGTAAGGAAGCTATCAAGATTTAAAAGAGAAAAATAAAAGTCATTATCTACATACTGTATGGCAGTTTATGCAGAAAATCCAAAAAAATCTCCATATAAATCAATATTTACATATGCACTTATAGCAAGTTTGGCAGATAAAACATGAATTTCCCAATGAAATTATATCTCTGTATTTATAATACACATAAAGGAAATGAAATTTGCTTGTTATTTTCAGTCAGAAAATAACATTTATTATAGCATCGCAGTTTGAAAAAGGCCTAGAAACAGATCTAATACAAACAGTCAAGACTTCTGCATCAAAAATTTAAAAATGTTCCAGAGAAAATAAACATGGTCAAAGGAGGGATATTAACCTTCCATGATATGTAGAAGACTTCTATATATCAAGATTTATTATACTGCTATAGTGATTAGAATCCACCTTTTGTTGTATGGAACCATTGTGCCTAAGCCAGGACTGAGATATCTTAGAGACAGACCACTCCCCAGGGTCATCTGGTCACCACAAAGGCGCCACTGCAATGCAGCAGGGGAACCCACATGGAGAAACATTAGTCTGGACTCTCCTCTTATACCACTGTGAAATCACTTCCACCCTAGTAATACACCTTAAATGTTCAAGTTAAAACAACCAAACTGAAATAAGAAAATATAAGAAAATGTCCCAAGCCAAATTTTCTTAAGTGGGACGCAAAAAACACTAAATGCAAAGAACTTTGTAAAAACTGCAAGCTTCTATTCATCTACAGACCTACTATAAGGCGAAAATGCAAGCCACAAACTGGGAGAAAAGGCTTACACATATGTAGATCTAACGAAGAAAGAATATCCTGAATATATAAAAATCCCTACGTATCAAGAAGAAAAGTAAAAAAAAACCATTTATTTTTAAATGTCAATATAACTGAACGGGTGCCTCATGAGATGAGATGGTCAAGTGAGCCACACACACATACTGGTCACCATCGTCAGTCAGCAGGAAGACGTGAGCTAAAACCACAATGGGATACCACAACCACCGGAATGGCTAGCATCTGTGAAAACTACTAACACAACACCCAACACTGATTATGCTGAGTGTTGGTGAGGGTGCGGAAACCAAAGTCTGTGGTGGGAGTGTAACCACTCTGAGAAAGTGTTTGGCTATATCTACTCAGGCTGAAGGTACCTGTGGATGCCGGCATTCCAGGGCTCAGTTCACCACCCGCAAAAATAGCCCCATGGAAACACTTGCGTACACATGTTGCCAAAAAAGGCCCAAGATGGTTTATAACAGTATCACCCAAATAATTCACATAACTGTAACAGCATAACTCAATAACCAAAGAGTGGAGACAACTCAAGTGTTCCTCCAATGGAGAGTAAATAAATAAATGAGGATATATTCACACAGCAGATGATTTTATTAGAGTAAAAGTGGGTAGCTATTGCTGAAAGCAGCAGGATAGACGGTTATCAGAAATAAAACAACGAATGAAAGCAGACAGATGCAGAAGAGAACACACTGGGTGAGTCCTTTTATATAAAGTACAGAAAAAAATACCAAACGAATCCATAGCTATATATGCCAAAATCTTTCGTGATGATTAGGGTAAACTGAGGAAGAGGCTTCTTAATATTTCATTTCTTTACGAAGTTGCTGGTTACCTGGGCATGTTCACCAAATGAAAATTCATGAAACCATACACCCATGAGTGGTGCATGACTCTCCTTATATATTGTGATTCAAGATAACATTGACTTCAAAGAAGGACTGGCCAAGATTCTGCAGCCAAATATAGGAGAAAAGAAAAGTAAAATGACTGAACCAAACGGGGACTTTTGTAGTGAAGTATCTGAAAATTACTCAGAAAAATGAAGGAAAAAAGTAGACTGAGGGACAAGGGAGAAATCTGCTAAGGAAGGAAAAATGAGGAGTTTTAAATAAAATCAAAATACTTCTAAATTGCACTTTTCTATTGCAATATTGCAATATAATTTATATTTTGATCTACTTTTGAAGGAATTTGAGACTGTCTTTGCAAATGTATTTTGTGATAAACAAAAAAAAATAGTCTAGAAAAATGTGATCTGAGTGTTAACAATAGACTCCTAATGTATGAGTTTATATAGGTTTATTCCATATTCTCAAGAGGCTGCTTTGACGAAAAGTAACATTGTAAATGTTTTGCAGAGAGAGAATTTTTTTTAAATTTAGAAACCTACACATTTCCTTTACTCATCTTTCTAAAATATCACTGTTTTATTTTTTAATAGCTCACCCCTGTTAAGTGCTCACAGGGGTCTACGAGGTTCAGTGGAATGACAGGGAATGACATGGCAGGTATTGCATATGGTGGGGGCAGCTTCAGATTCCAGGCTAGGGGGCAGTGTCAGCTGGGGGAAAATGCATCTGTCCTCATAATTTCAAATATCCTCCAAGTGAGAGAGACTTCAGCTTCTGACACAAGCTTGTCAACTTTAGCCTCTTGAGCTGCTCTTACAAAGAAGACCCACTACATCCCACTGGGTCACCTGGAGAGGAATGTTCAGTTAATATTTTATTAATAATATATAATAATAATAATAATATATTATATATAATATATATAATATAATAATAATATAATATTAATAATATTAATATTCAGTTCAGGTGAGCCAGGCTGCCTACCTGGCTAACTAGATGTAACAGGAGCCTGTGTTTATTTGGGAGGTTCCTTTCGTCACGAGTCTCAAGTCCTACCAGTTGTGTTTGTAAAGAGAATATTACCCCCATGTTTATCTGCCATCCATAAAGAAATCTGATTGCATATTCTATTTCTACTATCCCGGTTGACAGTAATTATTCAGAAGAAGAAATGCCTTTATTCTCTGCATTATTTAGCAAGCAAACATCTCATCTCTTACAATTCATTTTGTTTGACAGTTTGGGCACATCCTACTGCTACGGGCTCTAGGGAACATCCACAATCTGATATCCAAATGAAATGCTATATACACTTAGTTAAAAGGGCAAGTTATGTTTGCTCCTGGGTTTTGGCACCAAAAGGAAAAAGAAAAGAAGAAAAGAAAAGAAAAGAAAAGAAAGAAGAGAAGAGAAGGGAAGGGAAGGGAAGGGAAGGGAGGGGAGGGGAAGGGAAGGGAAGGGAGGGGAGGGGAGGGGAAGGGAAGGGAAGGGAAGGGAGGGGAGGGGAGGGGAGGGGAGGGAAGGGAGGGGAAAAAGAAAAGAGGCAACTTACAGACTGTTTTGAAAGATCATCTTATATAACCAGTCAGATTACAGCAGAAAGAGATGAAAATACTGGTTAGACAATTAATTCAGCAGATATGTGTCATGTTGGCCCTGATGGATTGGTGACAGTAGTGGAGGTCCATTCTGTGTCTATTTTGAAAGGAAGGCTGAGATTTGCAGCAAAATCAAATGCGGGCCACTGAAGAAAGGCCAGTCTCAACACTCCCACCGGCACTTCAGCCTGAAACTGGGAGAAGAGCAGGAGGGGAAGGGAGGGGCCTGTAGGGAGAGTGGGTGTGCAGGTGAGCTGACCAACTCTGAACACAACATCCACTGAAACCAGTGTTCTTTTATTTGTGAGAAGGAATACTTCTACTTCCAATTCATCGTGGACGGACACTTTTGTAAAATGTAATAAAAGTGAATTCCTGTAAACATGGCATTGAAAAAGACAAAGGCATACAAAATGCAAGTCTGGATTCTTATTAGATTCAACAGAAGGAAATGAAACCATCAACTTGTCATAAGAGGTTCTAAATGCTTACTCTCAGGGCAGAACAGTAATAAAAAGTTCATACTTCCAGTGGTCCACAGGATACACTTTAAGAATCACTTGTTATTATTTAATCAATAATGTTTAAATGGCTTGTCAATCCATTAAAGGCGAGTTCAAATAACATAACTTAGCGTACTCATCACAAAATTGATCCCAGACAATTTAGCTCTTCAATATTTCAGGCATGGAAAAGAGGAAGATCATGTCTCACACAGTGGCAAATTTATATTTGACGTGAACTTTAGCAAAGCATGATCCAGAAAGAAAAGAGAAACCCAGCGGGCAGAAAACATCTAAGAAGATGGCCCAGCGCGGGGAGGAGCTGGAGCCATGACTCTGATAAACAGATAGGAAGTACTCGTCACTTGAGATTGGAAAGTGCTTGACCAGGCCTCACAGTGAGCAAACCCAGCCTGACCCCTTTGTCACTGAGCCAGGGTCTAGCATAGCAACTGGACACTCGTCAAATCACCAGTGACACAGATCATCACAAGCGGTGAGAAGAAAGATCCATCATGACTTCCTCAGAAAGACTGAAGAACTTCCGAGTGAGAGTTTATAAAGCTAAGTGTTTATTCCACGGGGTAGAAAGAGAAGCTCAGGGGGAAGAAAAACAGCCCACGGAAAATCCTGACACAGACAGGAGGGCAATCGCCGGTGGCTGAGAGCATCAACTAGTATCTAGGGCCCGGACGGTGAGTGAAGACTGTGCTCATCCTCCCATGAGAAGGGACAAGCCACAGAGACGTTTGAAGACTGGGAGTGTCAAGATCACATCTGTTCGTGTTAAGAATGACTCTAGCTCCTGGTGAGATCAGATTGAACGGGAACAAGGTTTCCTCTGCATGGTTAGGGGGCTGTTGAGAAGAGATGCAGCAGCCTTGGTGAGGACGGTGACCACCAAGGTGGAGGGTAGATGAAGTGGATGTTTGGGAGACGGAGGCATTCGAGAAGCATGAAGGAAAAAAGAAATGCAACACAATTCAAGGAATGGTCTTCTGGTAATATAACCAAGAAGGCAGGAAGGAGGCAGAAGAGGTAGGGCAGAAGGATCAGCACCACGCTGGAAAGGCGGGACCATGGATAAAACTCATACACAAATAACAGGGCCGCCCCAGGGAGCGAAGTTAATCAGCTTTCACCACCTTACGCCAATGACTCAATCCCATTCATTTTGATAGAAACATTTAATTTTAAGTGTATTTACAGTGGCAGGCAATTTATCCAAGCATCAAGACGCTGCACTGAATTTTCATAGGCTAATCAGCACCTGACGATTTATTACTCAGAAGGAAATCTTAGACTTTGCATTTACATGAAAATTAATCAATTTCTCAGTAGACTAGGGAAAAAAGAGGGTTATCAAAAAGGGATAGCACATATGGGCATAACCAGATCTCTCTACAGACATTCTGACTGAATTGCTTTGAGTTAGAATATCACAAAATCAAGGAGAGGGAGACAGACAGACAGAGACAGGGACTGAGATGACATGGTGGTCTAAATCGTTCTGCATACTGGGTGAAATAACACATATAAACTGGAGCAGAACCACAGCAAATTAATTCTCTGTGCTGTTTGTCATCTGAGTCATATATTCCTACCCTGTTATCAGAGATTGGTGTATACATTATTTACTTTACAAAGCATTTCCTGATAACTTAAAGGGAGAGCAGTTTCTCTTTTCATGCAGATAGAGAGGACATTCTCCAAGCGGAGTCAACTTTCCCTCTTTAGCTTCCTTTTCCAGATCTAGCCGGCTAAGTACAGGAAACAAACAGCATTTTTAGAAGTGACGTGCAGATCCTGCTGTTTCTAGCAAGATCTTCTTCCACAGCAAACTCGACGTCAGGAAAGTTGTCAACCCATACAGTATTAACCTTCACTTAACAACTCTGAAATTTGGATCTCTGCTGACCTTGCCTTAGAACTGAATCAGAATGAACCTGAACTCCGAGAAATCGACCTTACGCTATCTGCAAGACCAGAAACAACAAGCCCCCTCCTTGTGATATCTGCAGCCCGGAGGGGAAAATCGGCAGCAAGACAAAGCAGCCCACAAGGCAGGTTCAAGGGCACTTACATATATCTGATTGTTCCCAAAGCGCTTCTGAATTTCATAAAGCAGGCTGCCGTCATTCAGCTCACTGAGCGTCGCCAGGTCATCACTGGGAGCGGGAGGCATCAGCTTGACCTGGGGGAAAAATGGAGTAAGATCAATTCTAATTGCTTCCCAATCAACTTTCTCCACAGTCGGATGTGCCATTTCCAATTACATGTCAAAAGTTTAAAGACCACGTGAGTTTGAAACCATTATTAAAAGACGAAATGGTTCACTTAGAAGGAACAAAAAAGACAACAGCCACAGAGAAATGTATTCCGATGAGAATTTCTGTCCTACGTCTGTGGGCGCACTCACACGCACTAACACAAGCACCCCAGGGCTACCTTCCGTCCTGCAAAGGCATCAGTCTGCCAAAATCATGTCAGCACGTGGACTTTCCCAGTGTCCCCACTTAAAATGTAGACAGCTCTGAGCTGTTCTGCGTCCTCTACGACCAGCAGCTGAAAAGCTCACATATCTGCAGTGTTTCCAAAGCTAAAGCAAACCTTCTCCTATTACTGTTGTTGGCATGGTGAAGGAACCAGTGTGCCTGGAATTTAGTTTCCGCATACATGTAGGAGGAGGCCAGATTTTGAAAGAAGACTCTAGAATTTTGGCTTGGGATCTTTTATTCTTTTCTACATAACTCCTACAATGAAAGTAGCTGTGAGATTAAGATAATGCTGTCATAATGATAAACATGCTTCCCTATTCAACTTAATAGAAAATGACAGAGTTAAAAAACTGGGAAATATTTCAAATAAAAAAGATGAACTTGGATGATTTAATTAGACGGAAATCTATCATTCGCAAAGTTAGGAATGGACCGTGTTTAATTTTACATACACAAGATACGTTGTGCAAAACAGATGCTTGATCTACGAGAACAGCTTTGGTTTTCTTTTGTCAAACACAGAGGAGCCAAAGACCAAGAATATTCTTATCAAAGCCTCTGCGAGTTCATTGGTGCCCACAGTGAATTTTTAATAACAGCAAGTTTATTTGCGCCATTTGTATTCGTGTTTGTATTCTATATTTGCATTTGCCTTTTGTATTTATATTTGCATTACATATCTTAACATTGTATGTATCACTGTTAAAGAATATGAACTTAAATATTACTGTTTATCAGCTAAATGCTTATGGCATTGACAAATACTACACATTAAAAAAAATCGTAAATGTAGGATGATCTCTCTGATATGAGCGACTGGTTCGCAAAATGCAATCTTTCTCAGGAGTTCATAAATTCGAGTCAGTGCTTTCCCAGGCTGCTTGTAATCCTAATGTATTCATAATGGAAACTCAAATTCTTTCCTGGGAATCGTTACGTGGTCAGAAGAGTGGCTTGTTATGTCTTCCAGTTAGAAGGGTATCACACAGTGAGCTCTGGTATGAGAAATACCACCATTTATGTAAGTGGCAAACACCATATTCCAAAAGGAAGTTGTTTAGGTATTAAAAGTTGATTTGTAAAATACTCCAGACTTCATGAAGGTCAAGAACCAGCCTCTCCTCGCCCCAAACCATGCACACACTGGGCCAACACTCCACAGTCCATAATCTTTGCTTTGGCAGCATTTAAAAGAAATAGGCCTCAAAATACCCTTCAGAATTAACCTGTAAAGAGCATATTACAGTCTCATTAAAATTAGTCAATTAATTAATTTTAATTAGTTAGAGGCATAGCTGGAAGACTTTGATACTGTCAGAAATATTTACTTAGGGGCGGCTGGGTGGCTCAGTCAGTTAAGTGGCTGCCTTCGGCTCGGGTCATGATCCCAGGGTCCTGGGATCGAGCCCCATGTCCGGCTCCCTGCTCAGCGGAGAGCCTGCTTCTCCCTCTCCCTCTGCCTGCCACTCTGCCTACTTGTGCTCTCTATCTCTCTGTCAAATAAATAAATAAAAAAAATCTTTAAAAAAAAAATAAAAATAAATAAAAATAAAAAAAAAAAGAAATATTTACTTAAATAGTCAAGAGTAGAATCCAAAAGCTGGTACTTGTGGCTAATAAAAATTGAAGTCATAATGCCCCTCCTCTCCTGATATTCTTCTGGGTTGTCAAAATCAATTCTGGGATTGTGTGATATCTGTTTTTGTTTTTTTGTGTTTTTTTTCACATTAAACACTTAGTTGTACTTTGAAGAGTCTCGTAGGCCCGAAATGCTGCCGGGGAAGTGACCAACAGTCGGCTTGACCCAGGCAGCATTCCACTCTGCGTTTTTCATCAGTCACGCTGATTTGGGTAAAAATCTTACACCCTGAACTGAGTTTCCCCACCTTAAAAATGCTGGAAACTGAAGCATATGTAAGGCATCGATTACTTTTGTGCTCACGGGGATGAACGCGTTTAAATCTCAGTGGCAGGTCTTCCCGGCTGGGGGACCCTGAACCTTTTTCTTCCCTAAGTCACTTTCATTGTCTTTCATAATACGGAAGATGATGGTGTGTCCCTCACAGGAGGCTGGGGGAGGATGAGTTTGCGTGGAGGCCCAGCAAGGTGTCTGGTCCGCAGGTAAGTGTGTAGTAACAGGGTGCATCGTTATCTAGTGAAACGTCTGGGGAGGGCCGTGAGCACCACAGGTAAACTTTCTGCCAACTTCCCTGAGGGTTGCCTTTGGAGGAAGGGGGGGCAAATCTGCAGAGGGCTCTGGGCCAATCTCTGCGGCTCTCAGCAGAGACCCTCAGCTTTCACGTGCTCTAAAAACTGGAATTCTCTTTCACTTATCGTTTTGGGAGAGGATCTGCTGTGAAATAATAATTTTGAAAAGTTTGAAACTCGTGGATATAATCCAAAGGGAGATGCCGAACTTATGGCCCAGAGAGGTCGCACAGTTTCCCTGGGGTCACACAGCGGATAGGCCAGAAGGGGAAGCTGGGACAATACCCATCAGGGAACAGTGGAGAAAGTGTAGCAGATAAAGAATAAACCGACGACGTATACTCAGTCACTCCCCTTTCTTTTCCTGGCTCACGGGCTCTTTGCCAGGCGCTGCGCTCGAGGTTTAGCAGAGAGAGGGAGCAAGAGAATGAGGTCTTGTACCTCGGAGCGTTGACAGCTCGCTGGGAGAGAAGGACGGACGCAAGTAAGAAACTGCAGTTATGAAAGGGGCTCTGAGGGAAAACGAGAGGATGCTGTGAAAAGTGAAAAAGCGCACTCTCGCTCGGGTGGCTGGAAGTCCTCCCAGATGAGATGACAGCAAAGCTGCACCTGGACCCGATCCGGCAAGGCCGTCCCGCGGGCTGCGCGCAGGCAGAAGGAAGAACTCAGTAAGGGCCCGAAGGTCCTGCCTGTGAGCTGCAGGGCGGGAGGAAACAGAGCAGGTGGTGGTGGAAGGGAAGAGGGATGCACCCAGGGACAGATGCTGAGGCGACAAGAAGAGCTGCCACGCTCACCGTGGCTGGGATCTGCGCTGCATTTACTACTCGCGAGCAGCGGAGACGAGATCGAGGGTTTACTTATACCGAGAGACAACTGCACCATATCCAGGATCACAGACGCAAGTGCGTGCCCTTAAACATGAAAGGAATTCAGAAAATAAGTACAAATGGGTACGCATGCACTTCCAAGAAATAAAAAGCCTACTGGCAAAAGTCTTTATTTGGAGAAAGACATAAAAGGAAATTTTCATTATCAATTTGGAGACGAATGTAAATATCTTTTCTTCCCAGCGTCTCTGCGAGCATTTCCTGAAAATAAAAAATGTATACATCTACATACACACAGATGTGCACCCCAGAAAATGGATATGGATGTGCAAATGTATATCCACACACATTATACACGCACACGCTAATACACGCACACAGACACATTCATGCATATACGTGATATGGCACAAGCCAATAATGGATTGCAATAACTTTGAACAATGCAAAAATAAGACAAAAGTCTCCATCAAGTTAGCATACATATTTAACTCCCAAAGCACCATAAAAAGGGGACAAATCAAAAGCAAGATTTTTTCTTTAGAAGAAATGGTTTACATTTCTTAGATAATAAACTTCCTCTTACAACCACAGCACTAACAAGCTCAATGCAAATTTCTGGGTGTATGCTTAGAAAAAGCAGGAAGAGTACTAACAGAAGTCCCACATTTGTTCCGACAAGCCCAAAAGAGTTACTGCAGACATCTCGTTGGTATTCTTGAGGATTTCCATCTACAGTGGCACAGCTGTTTCTCGGGTTAGGGAAAATACTAGGCTGACAGTAAAAATGGGAAGGCGCCCTAGCAGCCAAGAAATGTGACAAATACAGTGTGAGAGCCGGTCAAGGGAAGCATTCCTTGCATTTATCACATCAGGACCCCAAAAGGATCAGGAAGGAGGCTTTCCTAATGGATGTTAAGCAAGGCCATCAAAGGGACACATTCTTTTTTTTAAATTTTTTATTGTTATGTTAATCACCATACATTACATCATTAGTTCCATGATTCATTGTTTGTGCATAACACCCGATGCTCCACGCAGAACGTGCCCTCTTTAATACCCATCACCAGGCTAACCCATCCCCCTACCCCCCTCCCCTCGAGAACCCTCAGTTTGTTTTTCAGAGTCCATCCTCTCTCATGGTTCGAAAAGGGACACATTCTTTATAAAGACTTCAAAAGCCCGGGGACACCGGCTAGCAAGTGGAAAGAAAAAGAAAAAGGCACCTCTGAATATTTTTATGTTATAGTTGTCGGCTGGATAACGTGTACGGCCAAAGTCCGCTAAACAATTATAACAAGGCAAAACAGAGATGGGATAAATACGTAAAAAAGATTAACATCCTCTCTCTAGGACTGACCACTGTGATTTCTATGAAGAGATATATCCCTATCTATCTCTGTAAAAGGAGAGATCTAGAACATAAACTAGAAATCATTCAGGATAGAAAGCCAGGACGAACTTCAGAGAAACACTTTGAGAAATGTTTCGAGATCCAAAGGGAACTTAACATTTGGGAATATTCTGACTTCCCCGATTCCTGGTCTCCACTTGTCAACACAGCATGGCGCGCCGTCCCCTTTACTGTTTCGTTCGTTTGTGACTTCCCCTCTGGGAGATGAGCAGGATGTGTGCGGAAACTACAAGTCCCATAGATAAAAGAGGTGGACTGACAAATGAGAGAAGAGAAACAGTATCTTGAGGAGAGGAAAGAACCGAGTATTCAGGAATAAAGAGGAAGGAGGAAGTCAGGAGACAAACCAGGTGACCTGGAAAAGGGTGATAATCTGACAAATACTGTTTTCCAAAGTTTAAGCTCATCCCCATGCCCAGACAGCATTTTAATTATTCCACCCCCTGCTTCTGTTCTTCTGTTAGATGTTTGTATGACAGTAAAACCTATCAGGTCCTTTTACTTACTAGTGCTTTGCCTGGCCAAGGATTTAACCCTCTCATGTACCCGGAGATGGGTGTGTCTGTGGACCACAGGAAGAGAATTATCGCCCATCTTCAAAACCCCTGTAACACACATGCAGCCGTGGATCGCCAACCTCCTCTCCTGTTTATAGAACCATCACAGGTCCACAGGGCTCCGGAAGATGCTCCTTGCGGTGCCCCCAATACAGAACGGGGTCCAGCGTAAAAGAAATACTTGTGATTCTCAGCAATTTGCTTACAGTTCTGGAGTTTGATCATTTTATAACTTAATTTGCGGGGCGCCTGGGTGTTTCAGTCAGTCGGGCATCTGACTCTTGATTACAGCTCAGGTCATGATCTCAGGGTCATGGGATGCAGCCCTGTGTAGGGGGCTCTGCACTTAGCGGGGAGTCTGCTCTCCCTCCCCCTCCACCCCTCCCCCGCTTGCACACGTGTGTGCGCACGTGCGCACACGCTCTCTCTCTCCCAAATAAATAAATCTTTAAAAAACAACTTAATCTGTAAACTGAGTGTAAGTTAAGTAATGAAAAGGGAAAATAACTTGCCCACAGTGTTATTTTGAGGATTAAGACAATACAGGTGAATGCATGTTTAAGCATTGCCATGTTCATATAAAGTATAATTTTGTATTATTATTGTCTAAGGACATCTATGTTTGCACTGATAAAAATAAAGCGCAGTGGATGTGTTGACTGGAATTACATCAAGAGCAGATAAATTCAGCCATTCTGGATAAACCTAACATACAGTCAGTCTATATCGGTAACAATAAAAACATAAATGCATCTTAGTGCATTTTTACTCTATTCTTGGCAAATGTGTTATAACCATATAGCCCTCATTTCTGTCAGCTCCGCAACAACCCTGTGAGACCTATACCATGTACCCATTTCACAGATGGGGCTTATGAGGTCAAGGAACCTCCGAGTCATAGACTTTCAGCAGCAGACCTAACCAGAGCATCTGCCTTTCTCTGAACTCCCAGACTAATGTGCCTTCACTCAGTGGAATAAAATTGGAATTTCAAGTGTGAACTAAATTTAAAGAAATATATTCACAAAGGAAGGAAGTGGAGGAAGGGGGGGGAAGAAGTCAGACAAGAAGGCGGGGAGGAGAAAGGGAGGGAAAGGCAGAGTGGAAAGGAATTTAAAGGAAGAACGTCTTGCACCCTTCTAAGCAACTGAAGAAAAATTCTACCTTCTCAGAGATATTATGTGTTCATTTTCGTGATTATCAGAACCAAAAAAAGTTTAAATCAAACCTTGAATATTCACTCACACAGTTACCATTTGATAAAACCTCCATTTTATAAAAATCTGGAAGGAGAGATTCCGTGGCTTTTGTTTCAAATTTTTTAAAAAATTTTCTACATTACATATTTCTCCTTAAGATGTTAATCAGAATGTTCTTGCTTTGACAAGTCTTTTCTAAAGCTCTCTTACGAAATGTGAAAATTTAATCCAGTCAGTGGATAATGTTGGTCTTCCATGGGAGAGAATCACCCACGCACCTCACGGCCAAGAAGAGATGCCCACGGTGCCCACAGCGGGAGATGAGAGCCGATGAATGTTCCATCGATAATGTATGAACGCAAAACCTGAATAACAGCTGCTCCCTCTTCAGTACCAAACAAACAGAACATGACTGCAACTGCCTTTAATGTCTAGGATATAATTATAAATTGTATAATGATAAAGAGCTTAACATTAAAATCAGAAAGGCTATTGTATAAGGCTTATACTTGACATCATGTTGTGAGTATCTTCTCTTTTTTTAAGATTTTAATTTTTAATTTTTTTAAGATGTTATTTTATTTATTTGAGAGAGAGAGAGAGAGAGAACATGCGTGTGATGGGGGGCAGGGGCAGAGGGAGACGGAGAAAGAGAATCTCAAGCAAACTCCCCGCTGAGAACAGAGCCCCACAAAGGGCTCCATCTCAGGACCCTGACTGAGATCATGACCTGAGCCAAAACCAAGACTTGAACGCTTAACTGACTGAGCCACCCAGGTGCCCCTAAGATCTTAATTTTTTAGAGCAGTTTTAGATTCACAGCAAAACTGAGAGGAAGGTACAGAGATTTCCCATATAGCCCTGTCCCCACTGGTGCACAGCCTTCCCCACTATTAATACTCCCCACCAGAATGATGACATTTGTTACAGGTGAACCTACATGGACACGTCACCATCACCCCGAGTCCATGCTGTACATCAGGGCTCACTCTGGGTGTTGTGCATTCTGGGAGTTTAGACACACGTGTGATGACACGCATCCATGACTATAAAATCATACAGAGCAGTTTCAATGCCGTAAAAATCCTCTGGGCTCCACCTCTTCATCCCTCCCCTCACCAACCCAGGCAACCAGTGATCTTTTTACCTTCTCCATGGTTTTGCCTTTTCCAGAATGTCAAATACTAGAATCGTGGTGTATATGTCCTTTTCAGATGGGCTTCTTTCACTCAGTAATATGCATTTAAGGTTATAGGAAGTTCATAGGACCCTTACAAAAGTTGAGAAAGAACTTTGCCTTACATCTTACCTAACATTCAATTTGCCTACTGCTACGGACTGAACTGCATTCCTCTAAATTCACGTGTGGAGGCTCTCAATGTGACTCTTTGGAGATGGGGTCTTAAGGAGGTAATGAAGGTTAAAGGAGGTCATAGGGGTGAGGCCCTGATCCCATAGGACTGGCATGCTTACAAGAGACACCGGACAGTTCATTCCTCTCTCTGTCTCTGTTTCCTCCCCCGCCCCCCACTCCCCATGCAAGGACACAGGGAGAAAGCAGCCAGGAAGGGGACGTTCATCAGAAACCTTACCAGCAGACACCTTGATCTTGTACTTCAAGTCTCTAGAACTGTGAAAAATAAACTGTTGCCTAAGCCCCCCCAGTTTGTCATATTTTGTTACAGCAGCCTAAGCTGACAAAGACACCTACTGAAATTTAAAAGTATCTCAAAATTGCAAAAAATATTTGTTAGGTATTTTGAAATAATAAAAATTAATGAAACTAAAATTAAATCTTGAAAAGATGGTCTTAGAAAAAATCTAGCTAAAATGTCTTTAATATATTCAAAATAAGATCCAGTGAAACAAACCAGTTACAAGGATTATGCGGACATTTATAAAATTACTCTGCCATTTATAAAACATGAAGCATATAAAAATCATTGATTTCTCTAGGGAAATGTACTAATTTCTATAACCCCAAGCTCATCAAAGTGATCTCCCATAACGTGGGCACTGTGGCACGCATGTACACCCCCCCACACACACACCCACAGTTACACACCAACAGATACTTTTCATAAATGACTCTTAGTGATTGATTTTCCTTTCTTCTTGTTACGTAAAATATTTGGATCTTTGAAGGAAACAAAAAGCATACCCTACATAGTAAGCAAAATGAGGACTAAGGACATAATTGGAAATATTCAGGAATTAGCATACTGGCTGAGCTTACATTCTTGATATATAAGTCAAGATATGTATAAAATTCAAATCCTTGTACAACATAATAGCAGCTATCTTTGTTAATGGTCAATATAATATCATAACAGTTTATATATGGGAATTTAAAAAAAACATTAACCTTTGCATTCATGAATCTTTCTTTGAATGGAAATTTGTGGGTGTTTAGTTTTGAAATGTTGGATTCTTAAGGATGACGTAATAAGCAGGCATGCAGTAAAGGTGTACTTACCTGCTCAGGTTTTGTGGGGCCGTTCATCGTTGCATTTTCAGGGATGCTGTCTTGAGACTGTCGCTTGCATAGACCTTTGGTGGCATCTTTGAACATAATGTCTTTCTCCAACATACTGTCTTGCTTGGCAATTGGCAACACCAGGGGACTGCTACAGAAAATAATCAATACTATAATTAGTCTTCTGCTAACATTGCCATATTAATCAAAAAGAACCACAACAGGACAGCTCCATTATAGAAAGTTGTTTTATTCGGATAAGAAACCATTTCTTGACACGCAGGGGGAGAAAAACGGTCAATGGGGAATCTGTCAACTTTCTCTTAGTTCTAACTTCCACTCAATTTCAACTTTAAAAGAAAAATATATTCACTTCAACTTGAGAAGAAAATGTTTACAAATGTGTATATGACTGTAGGAGACAAATCAAGAAGCAACTTATAAGCTAAGGTTGAATGCACGACTGAACTAAGCAAGATATTTAAAGGTGAAAGTGAATTGCAAACAAGTGAAGGCACAAATTATACAATTAATTAAAATATCGTTCATATACAACTTAAAATATGTTATGGAATCATGGGCAATATTTAGAGTTTGTAACGAAATAATATTAGGGACAGTAGAGAGGAATGATGTGCTCAAGGATTCCAATACTGCAAGCAGTAACTCCTTACTTCACTACAGCTCAAACTAGGCAAAAAATAAAAGCTACTTCATTTTTTTGTTGTTGTTCCGTAGACCTCATTGCCAAAAGAAAGCTATTATTATGTAATGTCCATAAAAAATAAGCACAATCTAAATGTTTAATTTGCATTGTAACACTTTATGACAGTAAGATTTAAACATGCATTTCCCCTAATGTTACCATATGAGCAGAAAGACATACATATTTAATCAAGTGCAATACATATAAACGTAATTATTTCATGTATTCTACAATAGCACTTGTGATTCTAATCAATGCTTAAATGTACTTTTTGGTTTTTAAAAAAATCAGGTTTATTATGGTATTATCCACATACGGTAAATTTCACTTTGTGTAGATGCTCATGTACTATAGATGTCTATGTCAAATGTACATATAGTTATACGTGGTTAAATATATACGTGTGTGTGTAACCTATGTAACCTGTGATATACAGGATTTGTATCACTCCCAACCATTTCTTTGTGCCTGCTCCGGGGAACCCATTGTCTCCACTAGCCTCCTGCCCCTTGCAACCACTGATAATTATTTCTTTCACTATAGTTTGGCCTTTTCTAAAATGTCCTATGAAAGGGATCATAGAGCATGTAGCTGTTTGTAACTGCCTTCACTGACTTAACATCATGTTTTTGTTTGTTTGTTTGTTGTTACAGTCTTCAGGTCTTTTATTTTCTTTACATTTATCATGCCATGAATTCATAGGGAATGGGTTCCAGTAGTTCGGGCTCCTTTCCATTGGTTCTCACAAAGTGTGCTTCTCTGGGTGGGGCAGGCTGGCGCTTCAGTTGAACCCAAGTACCTTTCTCTTTGGCTTTCTTCTTTTTCTGATCATTTTCCTTCACACGCTTCAGGAAGCTATCTCGGCTCTTTGAGTGTTTAATATGCTCAATGCGTACATTAATTCTCTTGGCAAGAATCTTGCCCTTAACTTGTTTGTTTACAACAATGCCAACAGCATGCTGAGTAACACTGTAGACTCTTCCAGTTTTGCCATGGTAACATTTGTGGAGCATTCCTTTTTGAACAGTGCCCATTCCCTTCATGTCCACAATATCACCTTTCTTATAGATTCGCATGTATGTGGCCAAAGGAACAACCCCATGTTTTCTAAAAGGCCTAGAGAACATATAGCGGGTACCTCTCCTCTTTCCCTTTGTGTTGGTCATTTTGGCGAATTACTGGAAGATGGCGGTTCCGGCCAAAAGGAAGCTAACATCGTGTTTTTGAGTTCATTCATGCTGCTCTATATACAGTGGTTTGGTTTTTAGTGCTGAGCAATAGTCTCCTGGAGAATGCACTACACTTGGGTTGTCCATTCATCAAACATTTGGGTTTGTCCAGTTGTTGTCAAGCGTAAATGGAAGTGTGTTTCAAAGAACATTTTTTTTTTTTTTTTTGCCTATGGCTTGGGCTTCTTGTGTCTTATTTAAAAACTCTTTCCCTAACCCAAGGTCAAAAAGGTTTTCTCCTAGGTTTTATTCCAGAAATTTCATAGCTTCAAGCTTTACATCTGGGTCTATGATGCATCGTGAGTAGTTTTTGCGTATGGTGCTATGTACGAGTCAGGGTTTGTTACGTTTTCATATGGCTGTCCAAACGTTTCAGCATCATTTTTGAAAAGAACATCTCTCCCCAGCCAATTACCTAAGATACCTTCGTTAAGATTCAATTGACCATATACGTATGGGTCTATTTGGGGATGTTCCATTGTGTTCCATTGATGTAATAGTCTACTCATACACCTATTACATTGTCTTGATTAATGTACCTGCACAGTAAGACTTGAAATCAAGTACTTTTGACTCATCCAGCTTTGTTTTCTTTTGTTCTAGCTATTCAAGATCATTAGCATTTTCAAATAGATTTTAAAATCTATTGGTCAATTTTTATAAACATGCCTTCTGGGACTTTTTTTTTTTTAAGATTTTATTTTATTTATTTGACAGAGAGAGACACAGCGAGAGAGGGAACACAAACAGGGGGGAGTGAGAAAGGGAGAAGCAGTCTTCCCACCGAGCAGGGAACCCGATGCGGGGCTTGATCCCAGCACCCGGGATCATGACCTGAGCCGAAGGCAGACGCTTAATGACTGAGCCACCCAGGCACCCCGCTACTGGGACTTTGATTAGCATTCTGCTCAACTGATCAATCAACTTGGAGAGAATTTACATATTAACAATGTTGAATTCTGTCATCCATAAGCACAGTATATATCTCCATTTATTTTGATCATTAATTTCTCTCAGTATTTTGTAACTTCTGGCATTAAAGTCTTGCAAATAATGTTAGATTTATTTCGATCTTTTTATGTCATTACAAATGAATTTTTTATTTCAACCTCCTGTTGCTGTATATAGAAATGCAAATGATTTGGTAGACTAACATTCACAGGGGAGGAAGAGAGTCATGTGACCACAAGGTCTCACTGTTTGCAGACCATCTCTGGACCTTATCTTCCCGCTTTACCACAGAGTCTAGAAAAATGTGGATAAAATAAGACCAGTAAATGGGCTACATGAGGGCCAGGGTTGAGGGAAAGGCCCGAGGAAGAGCTGAAGAACATATTTACAGAAATGTGAGGTCAATTTTACTCTCCTTGAGCTCTGGATGATGATGTTTTATTCAATGAGGAGATTTTTTTTTTAAAGATTTTATTTATTTATTTGACAGACAGAGAGAGAGAGAGAGAGAGAGAGAGCACAAGCAGGGGTAGCAGCAGAGGGAGAGGGAGAAGCAGGCTCCCCGCTAAGCAGGGAGCCCGATGTGGGGCTCAATCCCAGGACCCCGGGATCACGACCTGAGCAGAAGGCAGACACTGAACCGACAGAGCTCCCCAGGTGCCCCCTCAATGAAGAGATTTTGAAGTAGGTGAAAAGGTATACTGACGAGAGACAGCAGGGGGCCAGGAGCTTATGTGTCTGAGTCAGAAAACTGCACTTTGAGGCCGGCTTTGGCACCCCGGGGCAAGTGATAGAAGCATTCTCTAAAACCAATCTGCAAGAAAGGCCTCTACTGAGGGACTTCTAGCATCATGCACACAAAGGGCTTAGCACAGTGACTACAGTATTAAGCAGGCAATGAAAGTCGTGATTTGTGCGGGTCCAGCACTGTTGAAGCTTCAAGGATTTTCCTCTATTTACAAACTAACGGGTTAGCTAGTTACTACTTCATGGATAGGCGCGGAAGACAAGAGATTCCTGGATCTGAGACAGAAGACTTCATGACTCACGGCACACACAGTATCCAGAGGTTCACGTTTGACTATGTCCCATGGTGGGTAGGAGGGGCCAACACAGGGGAAACTACATGCACACCTACACGTGCAGTGTGTTGTGTTGGAGGTAAGAAACCTGGTCAGGAGTCAAGTATTTTTTTGAGCAATCAGCAAACGCAGCACCAAGCAGCAGAGAAGCCAGTGGCCCCCCGCCCCGGCCCCTGCCGGGCGTTTGCTCTGTGGTCTCCTTGAGCTACCTAATGGCCTGTATGACTGAGCACATATGCTTTGCATTCTGACACACTGAGCAACACTGGAGAGGGTGCTCAAGGCCCAGGGCAGACTATCTCTCTCAACCGTGTGGTTATTAATTTTAAAAATTCACTATAAAATGAGAATGTTTTTAATGCTTATAAAAATTTCATATCCAGATCTGCTGGAATACCATCAAGTGATAAGGTATTCATAACTTATTTCCTCCCTGAGCAACTGTGAAACAATGCTTGCTGTCCTAACTTGTATTCACCATTCCTGGAGCTCCCAAGGTGTATCCTCTGTTTCTCCGACATGAGAACCCTTAAAATATGTGAAGACCATTGCAGTTGCCCTATATTTTCTATAATGTGAGTGGACCACCTATAAAACATTCTAATAATTAGATGGAATTGAATGTACGATAATCTCCATTCTAAGTACTTTATACACATTAACTCTACACATATTACCTCATATTAACAGCATTATAAGCAATATCTACTTTTCTGCATATTTATAGGTGAGTACACTGGGAGAGAGAGAACGGGCTGTGGACACACAGTGAGGCGGGAGTGGAGGTGGGACTTGAGATACAGAGCTCGTGTTCTTAACCACCAGTCACACTGCCCACATCCAAAATCCACCCTCATGCCTACCAAAATATTTCCTTACTTATCCACCCTTGAATGTCAATCACCTCTTTTTTTCTGCTTTGTTAGAAAGTCTTCAAAGAGAAACTAAAGGGAGGCTTTGCATAGACTGTACCAGGTGTTTTGAGTCTAAAGCGATGAAGAAAGCAGTGGCTGGACTAGTCAGGTAGAAACTACATAAAATCACCAATTATAAAGGATTTCTATAAAGAAACAGTGAGTTTACTAAAATAGCTAAAATACTCTCCTATCTCAAGTCTAATCACAGCATTAATAGCAGGATCTAGTCTATTTCCAACTGAGAAGTACACTTGGAAAGAAGATTG